GAAGGGACCCTGAAAGGTCATTAAGTCCAGCCCCCTGCCTTCACTAGCAGGACCAAGTACTGTCTCACCCCAGATCCCTAAGTGGCCCCCTCAAGAATTGAACTCTCAACCCTCGGTTTAGCAGGCTAATGCTCAAACCACTGAGCTATCCCTCCCCCTTTAAAGGTGAAATTGTAAAAGGAAGATCTACCTATTTCAGCTATTTATTTTTTATCACAACTGCATCTAAAATGATAGTCCCATAGAGTAACAACTATATTTTTTGCTCAAACATGAGAATTCAAGAATAGTCCAGAAGGAAGACAGGCAGTACTTAAGAAAGAAGTATGAAATAAAAAAGTTTACCAACCTGAAGATCCTGCATGTTCAGACATGTTTCTTTCATCATCTTCAACGCAGCTTCCTCCTGAGAAGGAACACTTCTCATTATGTTGTTTCATTCGGGCAACCAGGCCTTGCATTTCTTTGTTGTACTGTTTGCATTTTGCATGCATGCCTGTCTTACCCACAGGTAGAGAAACTTAATTAAAATAGTCCCAAATTGGGTCTCTTTTACTGCCTGCTGCCATTATAGATTTTCCCTTCTAGTGAGAGAATGGTATGGTAAATCTCAAATCAATGACGGTTACACTCAGACCTCAAGACTTCTGGAATATGCTGCTCAAGACTTCTGGAATATGCTTTTCTACTGCCCGTCCCTCCCTTCTCATATTTATCTCCAGACTTCTTCTCCTTGTCCAGATCTATTCCACCCCCAACAATCTTCTATTCATTTAACTTCTTGAAACTTTGCACTTTTAGAGAGAGGTAAGGGATTGACTCTCTGTGTACACAAATTTGCAGAGGGACAGTAGGGTTGAGGTCTGTTATTTCTCACCTCTCTATATAATTTATTTATTTAAAAACATTTTTGCTGTTAATAAGCATGTTATCTCTGGAGACACAAATCCACAGTTTGAGAACTTCAAAACTAAGCGTCTCTGATGGTATCTTCTAGACTGAGCACTGAGTCCCATTGGGTAGATAGAAAGATTAACCTAAATCTATACAGAAGCCCCTGGAACTCCATAAGATTGGGTCCCTAACTAGTTCCATGAACTATTGGAACTCATTTACAAAACTTTTCTTAAACATTACATGAATATATTGTCTCATACTATAGAATTAGAATTTATAATCCCTATTCCATGATGAGAGATCTTTGAGCTATAATAGTTTTAATTAAGATAAGTTTTTTCTTCAAAAAGCATTTTATCAAAAAAAATTCAATTTTAAATACAAAAATCAGATTTTTTTTAAATCATTGATTTTTATCCACCCTGTTTTTTTGGAAGCATTTTTTCATTAAAAACTAAATTTTACAAGGAAATAGTGACTAAAAGCAGAATTGGGGGTCAGGATTCCTGGATTCTATCTCCAGCTCTGCCAAGTAACTGTGTGATCTTGGGTAAGTCTCTGTACATAGGCTCAGTCATCAAAATGAGTATAATAGTACTTACCTGTCTCTCAGATTTCCAGTTCGCAGTTTATATCCATCTTTCCACAGTGTGCACAGGGCCTTGCTAATAACACCTTAGCACCTAATTTACTTTTCATTATGTATACTGTTTGTTTACTTTTTTTACTGTCTCAGTTTGTATAAGGAAACTAGACTCACCAGTTTGACATTTTTGTAAAAGCAAGTTACTCTTTCTAGTTCTCTTGCACTAGCACGGTGTTGCATGGAAATGCTGGGAGATGTTAAGCAAATCTTCCTAACTCACTGTTGCAGGTATCTCATTAACTGTACTGTAGGTGTAAGGGAAAGTGAAAAGATTTGCTCTCTGGAGAGGATGAAAGGGTCCAGGATCTGGACTGAACTATCTTTGGGGAGGAATGCTAGCATTGGGGAGAAGGCTTGTGTTGGAATTTGTTTGACTGTGAATTTCTTTGTAAATAAGGCAAAATTCCTGGGCAGATGTAAATTTTGACCCTATGCACAGTTTGTGGATTTTCTTATGGATAGGGTTGACAACTTTCTACTCGCACAAAACTGAATACCCTTGCCCGCCCATCCTCTGAAGCCCTGCCCCTTCTCCATGGCCCCGCCCCCACTCACTTCATTTCTCCCTCCCTCTGTTGCTCGCTCTGCCCACCCTCACTCGCTCTCTCATTTTCACCGGGCTGGCTCCGAGGGTTGGGGTTTAGGAGGGAGTGAGGGCTCCGGCTGCAGGCTCTGGGGTGGGGCCAGATATGAGGAGTACAGGGTGCGGGAGAGGGCTCCGGGCTGAGGCAAGGGGGTGGGGTTTGGGTGGGGATGGCTCCGGCTGGGAGTGCAGGCTCTGGTGTGGGGCCGGGGATGAAGGATTTGGGGTGCAGTGGGGTCTTCAGGCTGGGGGGGAGCTGAGGGGTTCAGAGTATGAGGGGGCTCTGGGCTGAGGCAGGGGGTTGGGGTGTGGGAGCGGGTATGGGTTCTGGGCTGGGGGTGTGGGTTCTGGGGTGGGGCCAGAAATGAGGTGTCCAGAGTGCGGGAGGGGGCTCCGGGCTGGGGCAGGGGGCTGAGGTTCAGGGGTGAGGGATTTGGGGTGCAGGAAGTGGATCAGGGCTGCGGCAGGGGGTTGGGATGCAGGGGGATGAGAAATCTGGTTGGGAGTGCGGGCTCTGGGGTGGGGTGAGGATGAGGGGTTTCGGGTGTAGAAGGGGGCTCCGGGCTGGCACCGAGGGAGTATCAGGGCTGGGGCAAGGAGATGGGGCACGGGAGGGAGTCAGAGGTGTAGGCACTGGGCGTCATTTACCTCAGGCAGCTCCCGGAAGCAGCAGAATGTCCCTCCTCTGGCTCCTACATGAAGGCACAGCCAGGCAGCCCTGTATGCTGCCCCGTCCGCAGGCACCACCCCTGCAGCTCCCATTGGCCGCCGTTCCCAGCGAATGGGAGCTGGGAATCGGCGCTTTGGGTGGGGGCAGTGCGCGGAGGCCCCTGGCCCCTATGCCTAGGAGCCGGAGTGGAGACATGCCACTGCTTCTGAGAGCCACATGGAGCCAAGGCAGGCAGGGCCCCTGCCTTAGCCCCACTGTGCCGCCAACTGGACTTTTACCGGCCTGGTCAGCACACTAACCAGGATCCCTTTTCGACCGGGCATTCCGGTCAAAAACTGGACATTTGGAAACCCTACTTATGGAGTACGTTTGGAAAGCTACTTACAGTACTCTAGTGTTCATTCCAGCTTTAGGTCTTCAACAGGATTAGGCACCAGCTTCAGAACTTTCTGGTTTTTGTGTGTTCTCCAAGGAACCTGTAATATGCAAATATGAAGTAGTCAAAAAAATTTCACTCACTCCTAGGAGCTTCTGTAAAACACTTGTTAATATTTCAATTTCTTCTGACAATCCTAAATATTCTGAATCCAGAAAAAGTCAAAAATATTTGCTATTTTGTCTTACCTTTCCAAAATCACTAACAGTGAATACAGTTGTGTGACTTCCTGTGTGGTTAGATTAAAACCTAGTCCTCCAACATTCTCTTTTTTCTCTTGATTGCACTAGGTGTGAAGAAGGAAATTTGAGACCAGCTAGTGGTAGAAGGAGTTTTTGACAGTTGTGCTGAACTTGAGGCCACAAAATAGTTGTAGGATTTGTTCCTTCACTGGATTCAATCATCCATCCACGTGAAAGACCCTAGTAGTGGTAGAAAACAATATAGTTAAGGTTGCAAATCAGTTTAGATTATACCAAGACTTCAGTCATTTATTTTCTAAAATATTCACCTATTCAGCTGAAATTTTCCAAGCTTGGTCTCTGCCTAAATGTCAATGATTATTTTGTTTTGTTTTTATTTAATGATGATTTTGAGAGAGAATTCTTCAGGTTTTTCTTATTTAATTAATTAATTTTTTGAGTCACACAACGGTTTAAAATATACATAAAATTCACACTGCCTCTTCCTCCCTGGTATATATCATTGTTCCTTTTAAAGGTCAATTTCGCCCCCCCAACAAGCTACATAAATTTGAAAGTAGAAATTTGGTATGGACATAGTTCATAATGAGTTGTATGTGCCTTGCTAAATATCGGGGGGGAAATTTATTAGAAATAAAGTTGTGAACGTTTGAAATTGTACTCGGGCACAAGTGCAATAGAAAATCCCATTAACACTTGAACTATAACATTCAGCATAGATGTGCTGCACATGTGTGTACAGGTTCAATTGCAAAGTGAGATAACTAATCAAAATGGGTTTTAAACAGCCAGGATATTTGCTAAACAAGTTATCCACTTCCTCTTCTCCTCACTAAAGCCTAGGAGAATGATCATAGGACAAGGACCCAAGCCCTAATAATACTTTACAATTAGATAGCATGTTAGAAATATTATATAGGCTTCATAACATCCTGAGGCAAAGAAGTTGTGATTTGTTGGTAATCGCATAGCAGTTTATTTATAGCATCTTGATTAGCACCAAAATCTCTTTTCTGCGGTCCCAGACATTAACCATAGTCCCTCCCAAACAAATCATACTGTCTTAACTATCTCATCACTGAAATGAAGATTGTACATTCTATACTGCAAATCTCTGTCTGGACTGTATTATATTGTGTTCAATTGGCAATTTCTTAGTAATACAGAATGTTGAGCTTTCAGTCTTATCTGCTCATTATTTGACTTCTGAGTGCCTCATTTCTCAATATTAATATTGCATTAGTAATAGATTTTTTTGTATGGAACACAGTAATTAAATAGAAAAATAATTTATCAGTACTGGGTGTGTGGGGGTTTTTTTTAGTTGTTTTTGGTGAATTTAGCTAAATTCCATTCTTTTGATATCTGTGCATATATTTTGTTTAAATAAACATGTAGCAGGGATAAAAACCAAAATAGCCTAATGGCAGGGAGTGTGGATTCCTAGTATAATAAAATAGTGTTTACCTAAAGAATCCTACACCTTGAAAATCCTTTTTAAAATCATAGTCCTATTTAAGTTAATATCTGTCTTTTGGGAATGTAAATATTTTTCATATTTTTAGGCAGCTACTGTGAGAGTGAAGAAATTGGAAGAAAATATTGAGGCAGAGAGAGCAGCACATCTGGAATCCAAATTTAATTCTGAAATTATCCAGGTAAACCAGTGTCAAATATTTGTGGAATTTCCACAGTTTATGATGGAGCAGCTAGTAGATCTGTAAGGCCCCAATCCTGAAAAGATTTATGCCTGTGTTTAAATTTATATATGTGAGTAGTCCCAATTCAGTAGGACTATGTACACTGGCAGCCTATGGAGAAGTTTTTGCAGAAACAAGGCCTAAATGTGTACTAGTTATTGCATGACTGTAGGGGAATTTTTAAAAAATTGTGGCAAAACTGTCAAAAGAAAATGGCCTACTATTAAAACATTCCTTTACTGTTATAAATACCCAATAATTATATTTTTGCCAGGATTGCTGATGGAACTGAATGAAGATGTAAAGCACATATGCAACTGTTTCATGGGAGCAACAAACTATGTAACTCAGTCGGTAGTTCTCTCTGAAACTACTGTTTAAATATGATTTTCAGTGAGCAGATTTGAACTTCAAACAAAATGGTAGTACAGTATTGGCAGATAATAAACGTGAGCAAGCTTGCTATATATTCGTCAAAATTCAAATTTTATATTATACTCAGCTTGCTCTAGACGGTCTTTCAAATAAATAGTTAATCACAGTTTACTTTAAAGAACAAACAAGGAAACTTAAAAAGGTGCTGAACTCATTTTCAAAATTTATGCTTTTCATTATTTGTGCTCTTTTTGCATTCGGACTGTCATTTTATTTTCTTGTTCTTGTACCCTCTAGTCCTCACTGGAAACACTTTTTAAAATGACCATTACACTAATATAAAAAAGAATAAAGAAAAAATATATTAAATTTTCCTCCTTTACAAAATATAACTGAATTGGGAGGGCAAATTTAAGACTGGTAAGATTTTCTATTAGGAATTGATGCACATGGAGTTGTCACATTTCTGCTCTCCATTGTATGGAACTCTAATCTTCACTATTAATCCTGTGCTTTATGTTTTAATGGAACTGGTTTCATGTACAAAAAATAGAAAACCTCTGACAAACCTTACCAGTGTACTTAATTTAATTAATAAAATCTAAATTCCACCAAAGTATAGTAGTCTGAGTAAAAGCACCTTATATCTTTTTATTTTTCTCTGCTCTTTATGGTAGGTATTCATATCCCTTTGTGTGCTCAGTGCTCCCTCACTCACACACAGACACAGCAAAAGAGAACACTGCTGAAGATTAATGATAGCTTTCCCTAACTTGCTTTAATTGCTTTCTTATCATTTGGTAGTTAAGGATTCGAGACCTTGAAGGAGCTTTGCAGGTAGAAAAAGCCAGCCAAGCAGAAGCTCTTTCTGATTTGGAAATGATCAAGAAAGAGTTCAAAGAGGTGGAAAACGCATATGAGAGAGAGAAACGTAATGCCCAAGAGAGCTTGGAAAAACTCAATATGTAAGTTTATTTATCTACTAAATGTATTGTAAGCCAGCAGTAACAATGTGTGTAGTATTATAATTTACATCCTTCTTAGGTTGCAGTCACTAGAAGATGACATGATCACACACACTTGAACAGGCCTGACATTCCATCAGTGCTGGTACATATACACACTGTGGGAAGATAGAGAAATGTAACCTATTGTTATATGGATCATTTGCAAAACATTCATATTGGGACGCTTGCTAGCAGCGGTGCATGTGACAACATTTTTTTTCATCTTAGCAAGTTAATATGGATTTATTTTTGTTAGGGAAATTCTAATTTACAGATTTTCATAGAGAAGCTGCAGATTATTCATGGCGAGGAATGCCTCTTAGCTTTTGTATGCAGTGTTGTTGTAGCCATGTTGATTCCAGGATATTAGAGAGACTAGGTGGGTGAGGTAATATTTTTTATTGGACCAACTTCTGTTGGTGAGAGAGAGAAGCTTTTGAGCTTACACGGAGCTCTTCAGGCCTGGGAAACTTGAAGCAGGTTTTTTCTGGGTATTTGGGTGGCTTATTCCATGATGCAATCTGCTTCTCTCGTGGAGTGTTGTTGTTTGGTAAATGTTGTTTTGAGTGAGTTAAGGTGTATATCCCAGAGCATATTCTGTGGTGTCTGTGTGTCTGGCTGTAGATAAGAGATTTTTTGGTGTGTTTGGGTGGTTATTGGATCTGCAAAGATAGCTGCCTCTCCGCCCAGGCCTAGCCTGGACCTCCAGTGACTGGGGGAGAGGCACCTATCCCACGGTCCTGGCCCTGGCCCCAGCCCGAGCCCCAGCCCCAGAACTGCCACGGCGGGGAGAGGTGCCTCTCCCCCCCAGCCCAGGTGTTGCTGTGGGGGGAGAGAGCTGGGGGAAGTCCTCTCTCCCTGCTGTAGCCCTGGGGCAGCCTGCACCCCAAACCTCTCATCCCCAGCCCCACCCCAGAACCTGTACCCCCAGTCAGAATCCTCAACTCCCCCTCCCCCACACACTTTAGCCCTGTGCACCAGACCTGAGCCTCATCCCACACTCTGAACCCCTTGGCCCCACCTCCGCCACATTAATTTTGTTTTGTGCACCAATAAGGAGGTGATGCGTCACACATCACCTCCATATTGGTGCACAAAACAAAATTTATTCTGCCCATAAGTGGGAAAAATTAGAGGCAACACTACCCCAGACTCTCTTGAATCATGATGATCATGGTTGTTGCCCTCAGGAAAGGGTGAATTCATATTTTCCATTACCTGGATGACCACCTGCTCATTCTAGCTTGGCCAGAGCCACCTCCCCCTGGCCATTCTGTCTGTAACATCAAATACAACACTTCCAGGATTTTTTTGGATCTTACACAGTAGGGCAGAGTTAGATTCCGTGAGCCCGTGGCCCAGATGTTATTGTATGACCGTAATATGTTACATTTTCTCACCCAAACTTTACAAGGACAGCATGTCTTCTCAGCTCTAGTTTTGGACAAAATAAAGCCCCTCAAATCAGCTTATCTAAACCATGGTCACCTAAGAATATTGATGAAGTTTCATTTTTCCAAATTTATCCAGCGATCTTGCAGTTTTCAGAGAAATCTTTGATTCTATAGACTCCTCTTCGTCACTCTGCTCTTGTCTCAAAGAATTCTTTCCCCTTTCAGCCTATAATTTTGTTAGAGCTTCTCTAATGGTCCATTATGGTTCTATGTGGCTCAGAATCTCAAAATTAGTAAAATCTCAACTTCTGAGTGGTTAGAAAACTTTGATCCCAAGGTATGATTTCTTTCCTTTTTGGAAAAAGAGTGAGTGTGTACAGACATGGAGTTGGGATTAGTAAAGTATCTTTTATTTACAGTATGTACAGTTACTACAGAAAATAGCTTTGAACAGTTGCTAAAGGAAACATATTGGGTGTCTATAATCAGCACAAACAGACTTTCAGTGCTTATGCACTTATTTTGTTTGTATCCTGTGCATAGTGTAAGCTTGAACTCCTCTTCACAATACACCTTTTGTTTGATATGATTGCATGCTCCAGGTGTCACTTAAAACTGGGGAATGAGCCTCTCTGGTTGGTGCCTGCCCACTTTAGAATGTCTTAGGGGGGTTTCAGTACCAAAGGGGCTCCCTTTCTTAAACACAAATGACCAAATTTATCCCTGGTGTATCTTTGGTGGAGTTAACCAAGGAACTCAACTATCCCAAGAATCTGCTCTCTGCTGTTAACTTCCATGCAGGCATGAATATTTTGCAAAAATTCATTGTTCTACAAATGGTGACGCCTCCCAAATACACTGTAGTATTGATTTGTCTCAGTGACTTCCTACATGAGCTAATTGGTTTTCATTTGGGAGATTTCTGCAATATTTTAACTTGTTTTGATGCTTTCCTTTTCACCTTGTGTAAAACTTCATTAAATGTATGGATTTGATCGTTTTACAATTTATGGCATAATAAATTTGGGATAAGAAGTAGAATGCATGCTCTAGATCTTAGTCTTTGATCTAAATATTGATGAACTTTGTGCTATGCATTAAACTTCCTTTATGAGATAACCCATTTATAAACATATGTGACTGCTTTAGTCAAAGATTATGTTAATTAGTTTATCTGTCAATGCTACTTTGCTCTTACTCTCCCCGTTAACTTATCATTGTATGTGGTATCAAGTCTGTGAATCCAACTCTTAGGGTATGTCTACACCCAGCTGCTAGTTCGGCGGCTGGCAATCGAAGTTCTGGGTTCGACTTATCGCGTCTTGTCTGGACGCGATAAGTCGAACCAGGAAGTGCTCGCCGTCGACTGCGGTACTCCAGCTAGACGAGAGGAGTACCGCGGAGTCGACGGGGGAGCCTGCCTGCCGCATGTGGACCGAGGTAAGATCGAACTAAGGTACTTCGAACTTCAGCTACGTTATTCACGTAGCTGAAGTTGCGTACCTTAGTTCGATTTGGGGGGTGAGTGTAGACCAAGCCTTAGATTATTTCAGTCAAGATCTTGGAATCAACCAAGAAAGTGATTTTAAGGCTGGAGATTGGTGAGGCTACATGGCAGAGACTTTAGGCTCCTAATGTTTTAGCTTGAGTAATTCATCTTCCAGTCCCCAGTCCTCCTCCCTCTTGGTACCTAGAACACTGTAGAATCCACTGAAGTCCACGAAACTTAGGAAACCAATTATCTCTTATTGTTTTAGCTGTCCTAATATGACTGTTAAAGGAAAATATTTTACTGCTTTAGTAAAAATTTCCAGAGGCTTTCTCTTTCCACTATCCTTTCCTTAGGTATTTTTTACTTCTTCCAGGAAATATTTAGTCTTTCAGTATAATTTTCCTAGCAGCTTTGTACTGTTCTGTTTTCTTAAAAATGTCATACTCTTCTAGTACGCACTTTTCCCCCCCAGCTGTTTTCAAACTGCACAAATATTGTGTTTGATCGGAGGTTCCTAAGCTGTGATCTGTGGAACGCTTGCAGGTGGTCACATGTTGCTTGTTCCTTTTCCATGCTTTCATCTGCTAAATCTTATGAAAAGATATCTAAAAATACATACATATTTTTTCATTTAAGAAACTGCTGTAATTGCCACAGGGATCTTATATAATTACAGATGTGTAGGGGAGGTGGTTCATGCAACTATCGCATGAACCTCCTTTCTCCCATTCACAGCCTTTTTATATAAACATGGTTGCCACCATGGAAGTTTGTGATTTTTTGGTAATCAGTAGGTCCGGAGTTATCAAAAGGGAATATTTAGAAAATGAAGACAGGAGGCAAGTAAAGTAGTACCTTTGCATTAGAACGCTCTTTAATGATCCATAACAGCCTAACTTGTTGCCATCGGGTTTGCCCACTGACTGTGGTCATCTGTTTTTTTCCCCCCCTCCATGCTACAATTCTTCTGTTTTTTTGGTTTGTCCTCTCCACCACCATTTTACATCAGAAGTCTATTGAGACCAAGCAAACATCCAAAAGTAAAACGAAATGCTTACCTCTGGAATGTTTCCTAATCTTGGACTCTGGCATGACTTCAGAATGGGATAGGGTGGTGTAGAGAAAGGACTCTGTATCCCTGGCTTCCTCAGCATGCTTCACTGCAAAGAGGAGAAAAAAGGGAAGGCCAGTATCGGATCTAGGTCATTTGAAAGAGGTCCCATCTGCTATTTGCTACACCTCTGTTTTTTCTCTTCACATTTAGTGTTCCAAACTATCAGATCTCTTACGCTAAAACAGGATGCAAAAAAATAGTTATGGACCTTGCTTTACCAATCTAGAAGCAAAAGTTGGATAATGGAAAAAATTCACAGGCGCTTTTATTTTATAAACGAAAAAGGGGTTAAGATCACCTAAATTGTTCCACACATAAAATTGGGTTCTGAGAATAAAACAAAAAGTGGCTTGGATACAGTACTGTTTGACTTTCCATGAATTTTGTTTTATTAAAGTAACTCTGTGGGTTCTGCCTTGGCAATTATTGTTAGTAGGGACATGCACCTGCAAGTGCTATGCACACTCAACTCCTGTTGTCTTTACTGGGACCTGAGGCATCTCAGAGCCTTGCAACATCAGACCATACATGTGTTTATTAATAGATTTTTGTGGACATAGTACAATAGCATTATTTGATTAGATGTGAATATGGAATGTTGTCTAGTGATTACAGCATGGGGCTTGACATTCAAAGTCTGGGTTTTATTGACTTCCTCGGTGGCCTTGAGCAGTCACTTAACTTGTCTGTGCCTCTATTTACATGGTTGTAAAATGGGAATGGGATTGTGAAATGGGAATAATACATACCAATATAACAGTGATGTTAAGTCTTAATGTTTTAATTGCTTTGATATTTGAATGTGCTCTGGAAACAAAAATTATAATAATGATTTAAGAATAAAAATTAAACCTTATAGAATTAGACCACGTTTGCATGATTCTTTGAACATCTGTTTGAAATTTTGCAAATTGTTCAAACTGTACAACACACAACTTAGAATAGTACACAACCAGATTTAATACACAATATATGGATAGTTTGGGTTCTACTGTTGCACATTAATTTAATAATGGTTAAAACCGGCAAGACTTCAGTCTTGAGGCAACTTCGGAGCTAATGGAAGTGGTGAATTTTTTGTTTGTTAAATGTAATCTACTCCATACCAGGGCCAAATTTATTTTTAAATTTATAATTTACACTAAATCATTATACCAAATATTGACAACAATTATAAAAAAAAATTCATAACCATGTTTTTAGCTGTCTTTCAAAATATCTTTAGAAAAAACAGATTTACACAAATTTCAGTGTTCTGTTATATTGTAATTGTTCACAAGAATAATTAAATAAAAATTAAATTGCATTCAGCTGTCTCGGATCTAATAATCTGTTGGATCAATATCAGAATCTTTATCTAGATTAAGAGACCTGCTTTTCTTTAAATTGAAAAACAAAGGTTTTTGCATAACCATAATAAAAGTATAATATTTTTTGGCCTTAAACCTAAGCTTGGAAAGAAATTAGAAAAACAGGAAAAAATGAATAGCCAATTTTTCCTTAGGGAGCAGCAATTTTTTATATCTAGAATTACTTTTAGAAATATTTGGAAATATATTTTGACTGGCTAATAATCAACTTTATTTTGATAAACTAACACTGGATTGTGAGAGGACATAACTGTTACAGTTATGACACCACTAGAATTAGAGATATTGAGCTATAGATTTTAAGTACTAAACCTTTATTAATTATATATTTCAATTGTAAAAAAAAAAAAATTAGAAAACCAAAATAAAATAGCCAGATACAAATGGCATAACCATTTTAGAGCTTAATTAACATACTTGGTTAGTACGTTAGACATGGAGAAAGAATTATCGACTCTAGCATCAGAACTAAACAGTGGTGTTCTACTGTTTCACCTCAATTGCTGATCTGGGCAATTTTATTAGCTGCTGTATCAGCATGACTTTTGCCAATTGAGTATTTTACAAACAAACACAGCCCTCCCTAGGATTGGGAAGGTAAGTTCTTCCTCCAGAGAACCCAAACTCACTCAAGAGAAGTGCCAGTTTAAAGTCAAACAGACAAACTGCAAGTCTTGTAATAAAGTTTAAAAGAAACAGACCCTTACCAGAGTTCCTTCCTCCCAACTATTCCTGAGTTTCCAGACTCTCCCCAAAGATCTGGTGATTAAAGTCAAAAGCAAACAAGTAGAGTTTCCCTGACTCAGAGGGGCTGTTGGCATCTTCAACCTCCCTCTTATAAGGGAGAAGATGACTGCTACTATCTTGTCACCCCCTTTCCCATTATGCTTTGCTGTGGAGGCCTACAAGTCTCGTCATCCTCTGGGACTTGGGACTGCATTTCCCAGGATTCCCTCTGACGAAAAGTGCAGAGAGCCCTGACTCTCTCGCACTTCAAGGCTGTGGTCCTCTGCCCTAGACAGAGTCAACAGTCTGGGTTCTCTCCCAAGCCACAAACTTCCACCACGGAACAACTTTCCTTCTCTCGGTGATGATTTCCCTTGTCCCACAAGTCTGTCTTGGATGGCTCATAAAGCATAAACATTCTTTACAGCAAATAGACAAACAAACAAATTCAGGGGAAGATCCCACTGTTAAAATTCTAAAAGCAAGGAATAGGATGGGATTTCTCACTCCGAACTCCTGGACATCACTTCCAGTGACAGTGAGTAATGAGGGTAATAATGTCCCTAGCATTTAGAATTCAACCATTGGTAGATGATTGTTTGAACATCTGTTTGACATTAAAATCCTATGCCCCACAATTTAGAATAGAACATAACCAGATTTCATATAGACACTGTGGGTGCTACTGTTACGTTTTAATTCAAAGCTGGTTAGGCAAGACTTGCCTGGAGACTGAATAAGAGTCAATTTCTGTGGTAATTGAACTGTGGTGAATTTTGTTCATTAAATGTAATCTAGAGGCCACATCAAGTCCACTAAACCTATTTTACTTATGACTGCAGGCACAGTACAAACACCTGGTTATCTTAAGGGGAGGTACTATTTCTATAAAGGCTTTCATTTAAGGAGTGGATTTTTTTATGAAAAAAAGTAAAGGCAAGTTTTAAAGCCTTATGGCATGAAAACACGATATATAGTACATCTGTCAATTGTGTTTAAAAGTATATAATGTTGGTTGACAAAAATATATTTGAAAAACCTGTTCTAACACTGAAACTTTTCAGATTCGAAAAAGAGTATTTTTCTACAAACAAGCAACTAAATGAAGAGATTGAGGAAAAGAAGAAAGTAATTACACATCTCTCTGAGAGACTCCAGGATAATGAAAAAAGTTGCAAAGAATTACAGGAGGAACTTGCAAAGGTAAGAGAGAAGCCCTGTGGCACTTGCTTTATTGGACCAGCAGATGACATTGTATATTTTACTATATAAAAAGCTGAAGAATGTTATGAAAATGATTTGATTGCACTGTAGGCCTAATCTAAGGGTATGTCTACATTTAAACTGCTACAGAGGCACAGCTGCAATGGTGCAGCTGCATGGCTATAGCGCTTCAGCCTGGATGCTACCTACACCTACGGGAGGGGTTCCCCCATTAGCATAGTTAATCTACCTTCCTCAGAGGTACATAAAAGGAAAAACTCTTCCATCGTCCTAGTGCTGTCGACAGCGCAGGTTAGGTTGACGTAACTATGTGTCTCAGGAGAGTGGGTTTTTCACACCCTAAGAGATGTAGGTGTGCCGATTGCAAGTTCCCCGGTATAGACCAGCCCTAAAGCTCTGCCACTGTCTTGCTAGTATGGCTTTGAGCAAGTTACTTCACCTCTGTGCCTCAGGCTATGTCTACACTATACATAGCAGGGAGGATGCCATCTTGCTGCTGAGAGGAATCATGCTAGTCAGTGAGCTGCAGCAAGAGTCTGCATCAGAAGGATCAGCAGGCTTGTTGCAGTCAATTAAAGAAAAGGGAAACTTGGTAGGAGGAACATTATATATATCCACCCATGAGGAACACGGTCCCAATTTGATTACTTTCCCCACCCCGGATTTTATGCTCAGACCTTTTCAAGCATAAAGTCACAGAACAGGAGTTTACTATAAGGGTTTAAAAGAGAACTAGATACATTCATGGAGGTTAAGTCCATTAATGGCTATTAGCCAGGATGGGTAAGGAATGGTGTCCCTAGACTCTGTTTGTCAGAGAGTGGAGATGGATGGCAAGAGAGAGATCACTTGATCATTACCTGTTAGGTTCACTCCCTCTGGGACACCTGGCATTGGTCACTTTCAGTAGACAGGATACAGGGCTGGATTGGACCTTTGGTCTGACCCAGTATGGCCATTCTTATGTTCTTATGACTTCCACCACTCATGCAAATCTTTGGATTTCTTGCATTGCTCTCATGTCTGCTCTTTCCAATGTTTAATACTTTACTTCTATCGTTACTTGTCCCTTGTCTTTCTCCCACTTGTCTCAAAATTGTATTAGTAGGCCACTGCAGGTACAACTGCAAGACCTCATAAGGGGACGGGAATGGTAAATTACTCATTTCACTTTTGTCTAACCCCAGCAAACAAACTGGTCACAAGTGGTTTTTTTTTTTTTTTTTTTAAATAAACCAAATGGTTGATGATCCCTGGGTTTGTATTTATTTAGATTATTTAATGACTCAAATAAAACACAGTATTGCTGAGTCATATTTCTTATTCAGACTGCTAACAATGCCCCTTCAAAAACTGGTAAGCTAATAAACCTGTTTCAGCAAAAACTTTACTCTGTACCCTCCTGGATTGGCTGTTTCAATTGAGTGTTTCCTCCCAGCTCCTCTCTTTCCTGAGAAGAGACCAACTTCTTCCATCTAAAGTCAAGGTACTAAGGGACACTTGCTCTAAATTAAGCCATCCTCTCTAAACCCCACAGAACCCGTAAGACAGGAATGCAACAGTGCCTCTTTGGCCACTGCCAATAGCTGGCTGATGTTTATTAGTGTAAAATTAGAGGCGGTGAGCTGCTGGCTGTGATGCTTCTCAATGGAACCTGGATGAGTACATACGCTCGCCATGTCATCTCTCTCTCTTGCTCTTTTTTCCTCCCCCTATCTCCCTTTTTTTTTTTTTTTTACTTTGCTTAGGAGGGTGTAAATTACACGTATATGCTTTTTGCCACTTGAGAGGTTAAGACTTCGGAAGAAAATCCTGAATATAGTTTATGGTAAAGCCGAAAGGAGCCCTCGAAACTAGCATTGCAGTATGACTGCAAGGAACATATTGGTTAGGTGGAAAAAGCTGCTGAGTGACTCAAAACCTCAAGATTGCCTTGAAGAGGCAGAAATATGCAAGCCCCCTTTTAAAAGGCTTCTTCAGGAGAGGTATTCAAAGCCCCTTTCTGGATTAGATTTTTTTTTTTAACTCATTTTAGTATTTTTCTCTGAAGACTTTTGTTTTTTATTTGAGAAGCTGGAATAGGTAGAGTGTGGTCTTGGTTTTTTCATGCTGAAGAGTTTTTTTTTATCATTTTTGTTGTTTAAAGCAGAAAGCTCTGGCTAAAAACTGAAATATATATGATATATTTTATTACCAAGCTGTCCTTTTTCTGAACTGAAATTGTCAGTGGGAGAAATGTTAATACTTTTAGTCTCTTGTATCATAATTACCGGTACTTTCTCTCATTCTTTTGTTTTAAAGTTAGACCTTCTCAATGTCTATTTTTTTTTCAGACTCAGATAATCTCATTCTATGGTTTCCCACTGATCTGTCTAATACAATGATTTTGTTTTAAAACATTTCAGGAAATATTACCAAACATTTTAAAATATTTTAAGGACAAACTCTTGGTTTTTGAAGTAACTTGTGTTGGAACCAAGCTCATTCTTTGGAAACTTGTATATTAAAAAGAACATTTGTCTTTATGGCTCCACTGCATATAAAGTAAAGCAGTTATGCTGCTTTTAATTTAAAAGTTCAGCATGTTGCAAAAGTCTGCCACAAATCTGCATGGATCAAATGTGATAGAATCTGTTAGTACCAGACAAGATTGCCTGGGCAATATTCAGTATGGGCAAGATCTCAAGATTTCCTTGTGTTATTGTTAGGGAAACTGTTTTCAGACTTGTTATTCTTTCCAACTAGTGTTTTAAGAATTTAGAGTCTGAAGAATAAGAATTTGGAAGAATGGGTATATACATTGTGGTTCAGAACTGGCTTTAAATCGAAATGGCTCCATCTCTATTCTTGGCCTCTTAAAAAAATAACTTGTGGCTAGAATTGTTTTTCTAAAGATGCTTTTGGATTTCAATTCCTGCCATCTAGCACCAGATAAACCCTAACTTTTAGTTGTTGAAGAGAAGGGGAAGTTGAAGCTTTTTATTTTGTGTGGACGGAGTTGTGAATGTACATAGTGAAGGTTCTGGGAATTTATCATTTTATTAATAAAGTATATTAGGAAACAGAATGAACTTTATTTTCTAGTGCAAACTTACTTTAATGAGAACATTTAAACATACACCTCTACCCCGATATAACGCTGACCTCGGGAGCCAAAAAATCTTACCGCGTTATAGGTGAAACTGTGTTATATTGAACTTGCTTTGATCTACTGGAGTGCGCGGCCCCACGCCCCCCCCCCTCCCGAGCGCTGCTTTACCGCGTTATATCCGAATTCGTGTTATATTGGGTCACGTTATATTGGGGTAGAGGTGTATATGTTCCTGGATTTTTCAAATTCCTCACTAAAATGTCGATATTATTTTTCCTGTGTTGGTATGTCAGCCATATATAATATTTGGAGATTCTGAAAGAATGCTTAGCTGCTTCTAAACTATTAAGAATTGAAGGTCATACTATAAGTCACTGCAAAGGTACTTCCTGTAGATTGGCAATATCTCAGATTCTGTAACAATGAAGTCAGATATGTTGATAAGCAGAGTATAAAACATGATTAGTTAATGTTTGTACCATGTTTTGAAGATATGAAGTGCTGTATAAATGCAAAGGAACAAATTCTGCTCTCAGTAATGCTGATATTAATCCAGAAAAAAAATTACTTATTCTATTCTCTGCTGGACCTGTCCAAGATTTTGTCGGGTTTTTAAAACTTGGGAGGGGGCATTCTTATTCAATTGAAGAGTCCTGCTGACTATAAAAACCAATCTAGCATAATTCTTGTTTCTTTTATCCTAACGGAAGCCATCCTCTGGAGTTATAGAGTACCTACAATACACACATACTTGTTGCTCTATTATTTAGGCTCTGATTCAGAAAAGCATTCATATTCAGGATGACATGTTCAACATGTGTTTGTCCCATTGAGGTTAAGTACATGCCTAAGTGCTGTCCTGCATAGGATAGACTTAACTGCTTGTTTAAGTGCTTTTCTGAATCGAAGCCTTAGTGAAAAACAGAGGTCTCTCAAACAGAGATGGCCAAATTTTTGAAGTTGTGCATCTAAATTGCACCTGAAAAATATATGTAATTGCATGTACAAATGGTTATTTATTCAGGTAAAAAATTGCATGTGCAGATGTGGGACTTGTACCTGTAATTTGTACACATGAAATGTTAACTGGTAAAACTTAAGGAGCCACCTTTGGGAAATTTTGCTATATAAAACCAATTTTAGTGTAATGATTTCTTCTATCATACTGTTCTTCCCTAGAGGTGTATCTTGGGTTTGTAGTGCACTGGCATAAATCTCCAACCAAAGTTGCAGCCATCTTGTGGAATTTTAGTTTAGGTGGTTAACCCTTAAAAAGTTTGATGTATAAATACATTATTGTATTACTTTCTTACTCAATGGTGGGATTTTCCAAGGAGATGGAGGGAGTGGGGAGCTGAGAGCCCTGGCGGCAGCCAGGCTCCCAGTAGGGAGTGGGGGGCTGAGAGCCCGGGCTCTCAGGCCCTCTCACTGCCCCTCTTAAGTCTGTGGAAGCGCTCCTGGTGAGGACGTGCTCCTGGTGAGGACGCGCACCACTGACAGAAGGAGGAAGTGTGGACATGAAAAACCACAGTAATTACTGTGGTGGCTGTAAGTTGAACTAACATAGGTTGACTTTAGTTTGTAGTGTAGACATGCCCTAAATCCCTCCTTCATGTGGAGTCCCCCTGAATTTCTTGTCCTCTCACACGAGGGACCTAGTGTAGCTCTGTTGCGTTTACTCCTTCCTCAACTAAGGAATTTCCTACGGAGCAGCACTGGTCTTAGAACTATTGCTTCTACTTGCAGATAGGGATGCCAACTTTCTAATTGCACAAAACCGAACACCCCTTCCTTGCCCCTTCCCTGAGGCCCCGCCCCTTCCCCAAGGCCCCACCCCTGCTCACTCCAGCCCTCCTCCCTCCGTCTCTCGCTCTTCCCCACTATCACTCACTTTCACCGGACTGGGGCAGGGGGTTGGGGTGTGGGAAGGGAGTGTGGGCTGCGGGTGCGGGCTCTGGGGTGGGGCTGGGCATGATGGGTTTGGGGTGCAGGAGAGGGCTCTGTGCTGGATTAGGAAGTTGGGGTGTGTGGGGGGATGAGGGCTCCAGCTGGGGTTGTGGGCTCTGGGGTGGGGCCAGGGATGAGGAGTTTGGGGAGCAGGAGGGAGCCCAGGGCTAGGGCAGGGGTTGGAATGTGTGTGGGGAGGAGCAGGGTGCAGGCTCCAGGAGGGAGTTTGGATGCGTGAGGGACTCTGGGCTGGACTAGGTGGTTGGGGTGTGGGAGGGGGTCTGAGATGCGGGGTCCCAGCAGCACTTACTGCAGCTCCCAGGAAGCAGCCACCAGGTCCCTGCATCCCCTAAGTGCATGGGCAGCCAGGGAGGCTCTGCACACTACCTTCATGCCACCCCCACAGCTCCCATTGGTTGCGGTTGCCAACAAATGGGATCTGTGGAGCCGGCGCTGGGGGCGGGATCATTGTGCGGAGCCTCCTTGGCCACTCATGCGCCTACGGGCCACAGAGGCCTGGCAGCCGTTTCCGGGATCTACACGGAACCAAGGCAGGTAGGGAGCCTGCCTTAGCCCCGGGTCCCCAATACACCACCGACCGGACTTTTAACGGCCCAGTTGGCGGTGCCAACCGGAGCCACAACGGTGCCTTTTTGACCAGGCATTCCGGTCAAAAACTGGACATCTGGCAACCCGACTTGCAGACTCAGTACTCAGAAAAATATCTTTACAAGCATAAGGACTAGAAACATTTTTAAAAATGTAAATGAAAGCTTAGATCTTGCAAAAACTCGTGGGGGCACCATGAATACACCCAGCCGAGGTCAGGCTGTAGTGTAGAACCTTACTCATTCTCATTAAGTACATGCATTAGGAAACTGAGAAACCCTTTGGTATATTCTCTGCAGTGCACATTCACATCTATGCTTAGGTTTTCCACTTTGCAAATTTAAGGAAAAAAAATCATAGGCTGCAATGATGGGGGAGAGGGAACTGGAACAGGAGTTAGAAAGGAAGGAAACTAAATTGTTTGTGTGTAAAATATAGAAGATCTGGCTAGTTTAAGGAATTTCCTTTTGATCTTTACTGCAATTGAAAAATAGATACTGAAATTGGCATGGAGACTTATGGACACAGCTAGCAAATGTGAGTACAGAGAAACGATGAAGACCGAATGTACTGACTAAAATGTGGTGAATTTAAAAAAATGGAAGGCTCGGGGGAAAAAAAGTACATTTGTTTAGGCATGCTTATAAAAAGACTTTTCTGTGGGCTAGATTCAGTATGACCTTGTCTGTACTAAAGTGGCTTATATTAAAAAGAAAGCATTTCTCTTACTGTGATATTGACCATACTGTTATATTTTCCTATTGATAGTATGCACTGTAAGGTAAATCCTTCTAATGTATTTGCATCCTGTGGAAAAGATAATCCTTTACAATATATTTGTATTGGCGTTCTGCAAATACAAGCACTTGTGTATATATGGATTTCAGTTGTGTTGGAAATTCTTTGTGAAGTATAGTACAAACTATCACATAAGGAAACCCATGTAAATGCTACAGGGGACCTAACACTGAAACGCACATGAATAATATATTAGTAGATATACAGCACATATAATTAAAATTGAAACAGTAAAACACATTTTATAAAATATTTAAACTGAATAGGGGAGAACACAGCAGAAAATTGCATATATTTGTCCTTGTTTGCCAATGATATGCTATCAGCTCATAAGAGAGCTTTTTGGGGGCCGACATTTCCCACATTGGAAAAACTGATTGGATCCTTGGATAAGTAGTAGTGTGTTGGTTTGTATGTAATAGACAATATAGTAGAATTTTCTTGGGGCTATGGAAAGTAAACTTCCTGTGCTATGAACAAATAGGAAGGAAAATTTATTCAAATAGTGAATCATAATTTTAGAACAGAAGATAAATAATGAGTAACTGGTCAGGATCAGAAATAGGAGATATGGACCTTCTTTCTTCACCACCCCTTCATTACAAAGATGTTATGAAAAGGGTACTTTTAATTATTGCTTACTTCTGACTTAATCCTTTCCCACTTGTTGTCCAGACAGATGTCATTTTTTGACTATGGACTTCTTTAATTGTAAACTCTTTGGCAGAGACCATGTCTACATATTCATTTAGACAGGGACTAGCACAATGGCCCCATTCTTGCTGAGGCCTCTGGGTGCTACCATAATATAAATATTTGATTATAGTCATCTGGAAGCTTCAGTAGCTTTCAGAAGTACTCCTGTGCACCTGAAACTCCCATTGGATACATCTACACTGCAATAAAAGACCCGCAGCATAGCCACAGCTCTGAGACCCTCCTCCCTTGTGGAGTCTCAGAGCCTGGGCTTGGGCTGAAGTCCAGATGCTGACCCAGCACCTGTGTCAGCTGACCCAGGCTCTGAGACTTGGTGCCACAGGTTTTTTTATCGCAGTGTAGAAATTCCCATTGTTTCTCATGAGGGCTGAGCTCTTAAATGCTACTATATGCATATGTAGCATATGTTTTAAAAATTAAGTAACTAAAGTTAGAGGGTTCTTTTGGCAGATTAATATTTAACAGAATATTAATATAATATACTCAGGGAATGTCTACATTACAGAGCCTTGACTGGTATAGCTATGCTGATATAGCAATGCCGACAGTTTGTGGAAAACAGCGTAAGCCAACAGGAGTTCTTCTGCCAGCAAAGCTAAACCACCTCTCCACATGACACTAGCTATGTCAACAGACGCACTCTTATGTTGGCATAGTTGCATCTATGAAACCGGGGTTTTTGTCGGCATAGCTGTGTCAGCTAGTAGTGTGATTTCACCCCCCCCAGCACTCCTAGCTTACATAGCTGTGCCAGCAAAGCTTTGTAGCATAGGCCAGGCCTTATATTCTACTGAATCTGGATGTACCAGAGTGAAGTAAGTGATATGTGCTTAAAGTTAAGTGCATCCACAAATACTTTGCTGGATTGAGGCCTTAGTATTCCTGTGAATATCCCAATATAGCCTAATGACAGTGAATGGCAATGGCTCTTGCTTAACTTGTACAGTATTAACAAATTTAAGCTTAATTGTCAGAGATCGGGACATGGGTGGTCATGCCTAGTGGTTGGAGCAGGAGTCGATAGCCAGTAATAGGCGTCCAGGGTCAGAGCCAGAGTCAAAGTCCAAATGCCAGAGCCGAGGGTCAGAGCCAAAGTCAGAATTCAGGAATTGGAGTTGAGCATCAGAGCTGGGTTACCTTGAGTGAGACAAAGCAGGGGCAGGATAAGGTTTGAGGCAAGGACAGGACTGGGTCAGAATTAAAAGTAGGAGAGGAGTGGGACTGGAACAAGGTAGGAGCAAGTCTGGGGCAAGCAGGCTCAGGAGCTATCACAGCCATGTGCAAATGTTTTGAGCAGCTGCTGAACTGCTGCTGCTGGGCTTTAGAGCTAGTCAGCTGACTCTTCCCGTCAATGAGGTGGTGCAGCCAAGCAAGCAGCCTAGGACAGGCCAGCTACACTTGTTAAGCTTCCCAGAAACTTGCTGTGCTGTGGGCTCTGAATCATTCCTGACATTAATGAGTGCATATTTGGCCAGTGTCAAGTGCTTAATGTGCTCCTGAACTAAGTGTGAAATATTAAATTCACATTTTATTAATATTCTTTAAATATTTTTCATATGAAAAGAAAACATGTCATATGGTACCTCAATATTTGTAACTACATAATAAGTTTACTTATCTAAACTCTTGCAATTACAAATCTAGCCCCTCCTTCATGTCTGCAGGGTCTGCTGCACAGAGGAGGGAAAAGTGTGATATGAGGTGTGGATGGAGGGTGTGGCCACAGGGCCTACTGCTATGCTGATCCTCCCACTCTTCCCCAGTGATAGTGGAGTATGGTGCTAAATCAGCTGATGGGCTGAAGCAGCCTTTGTGGATTGTCTGTGCAACTATTAGACTGGCTTGTGGGAAGGGTGCCTTTCCCATTGATCTGCCCACTGCCCAGCCCGTCTACTCAAGTTGGATGCTGGGCTGCCCTTTGAAGAAGAAACAATAATCGATGTGACATAACCATTATTTGCAATTTTATTTTATTCTAAATCTTTTCATACACTTTAATATTAAACTGGCCCTCGAAATAGGACCAGCCCTATAGTTTGAACAACAGCCTACCCACAAGGTCCCCCAGTGAAAAGCTTATTGAAAGAAAATCCAGTGCTGGGAGTTGAAGTGTTCTCCATTATTCCGTTGCTTCTGGGACATCAATCTCAAAAACTCTGCTTTCTAGTTAAAGAAACCACTATCTAGCAAGGAGAATATAGTTAACAATTGCACTTGGCAGCTTGCAACTACAATAGGTATGGGCTTTTCCAAAGCAGCAGATCCTTGATTTCCATCCCATCTTGTCAGAAGCATTGTGCCTTTCCAGATGTCCTTGCACAGTGCAACAATTAACTTTGTTGTTTGTGTACATAGGCAGCAGATAACGATTTTTATGGCAGGAAGAGAAAATTACTATACTCTTTGAAACTTTACTAATTCTGACTGCTTGAAGGGCCCACACACCCCTCCCCTGGTTTTTATCCCAAATGCATGTTAAGTCACACTGAAACACTGTTTTAGCTGTTTGTACCGTCATGTTGTACCCGCTTGATTTCAGGAAAAAGTAATGATGTGCAATGTGTCTTTTTGTATAATTTGTCCTACAGTAAAAATGTTAATTGTAACACAAGTCTTTTTTTTGTTTACCACTTTAATATTTTTTTTTCCTTCACCCATCCCCCTGTCAAACAAAGGCCAAGAAACGCCAGGCCTTCCTAACAGAGATGTGTGAAAACAATGTGAGAGAACTGGAGTTACTCTTGGACAGCTTTACTATGTCAAGCCAGCGGACAGCAGGTTAGTTGAAGGTATAAAATGACAGATGCATCTGTCAGTGTTCCAAAGTCACTACATTGTGGGAATTCTGCAGATGCCTCTTGCATTCCCTCTTCTCAACATGCTTTGATTTGATGACATGATGAGAGCAGTTCTCACAGCAGTCAAGTGGCCTCGCTAGCTGAGAAAGGGTGACGGAATGTGGACCTGCTGTTGTCAGCCCAGAACTTGATTTACAAGTGCTGGGATCTATCTGATCGGTCAGAAAAGGGCTCACTTGCTGTGCTCTAAATCCAACTGAGAAAAAAGTCTTTACAGTCTACCTGCAAGGGGAACAGATGTTTTGACTGAACTGAGCCAAATTCTGAGGCAACCTTCAGCAACTTAAAGGTCACATATTCACAAAGGTTATGTAGGACACAGGATGTAACACAGTTCTCTTTATAGCAGTACTTCGTACTCTAACTGAGTTGCATTCATTTAATTTCAAACAGCATACCGGTAAATATTTTTCCGATTAGTATAAAAATCTGAAATTGAAGATTTAGCATCACTCTACCATATACATTATATGGTATTATCTGTAACATATACTACTCTACAATTGAGATGGGGACTGAGATAAACAGGAATTATTGAGACACCATTAATTTGAAATCTAGTAAATTTATTTTTAAAAAGGGGGTAAAAGTAGTTTTAGGTACTACAGCTGACCGTTATTTCCCCTGTCAGTTTTTGTGATTTTTACAATCTTATGTTCTTCTTTTAAAAAAAAAAATGTTTTTCTTTCTGGTTGGTGTATGGAACATGCACATTCCTATACAAGGGAACCAGTCAAACAAAGTATTCACAAAGTGCTGTCAAACACACACAGTAGATGAACTGAATAAATAAAGAAATATTTTCCTCTAATCTTGGTTATAATAATCTTAGGAATTACAACTCTACCTCGATATAACGCTGTCCTCAGGATCCAAAAAATCTTACCGCGTTATAGGTGAAACCGCGTTATATTGAACTTGCTTTGATCCACCGGAGTGCGCAGCGCCCCCTCTCCCCCCCCGGAGCGCTGCTTTACCGCGTTATATCCGAATTCGTGTTATATCGAGTCGCGTTATATTGAGGTAGAAGTGTACTTTTTACAAAAATAGGTAAAACATGTTGAGAAAAGGGGTTTATTTAAGTTCATGTTAAACCTAATGTGCTATGTGGTGCTATATAAATTATATCTGCATTTCTGCAATATCTAGCAACAAGATACATTGAGGGATGATGTGGCAGCCTTTCATTGATTTTTTTTTTTTCCCCCCTTTATTTTCTCTGCATTTTTGGCCAAATAACGTTGTGACAGACTGATAATTTCCTACAATATCCTGAATGAACTTTACTGAATTAACTTAAACCTTAATGAATTAGTTTTAACATCTTTGGAGTTCATTGTATTAAAAAAACAATTGTGTATGCGTTATTGTGGAATTGTATGTATTTCCATCTGAAGGACAACAGGGGCTGATTAGGCAAATTGACTCAGGTTGTAACATCTTCAAAGAAGCCACCCCCATAGAAAGGTGTGCATATACTATTTTGAAGTGGATTCTCCAGGAACCACCAATTAAGAAAGGGGGTTTAGATAAATAGCCTGGCTTTAAACTAGCATATGGCCTTCTTCCTGATCCAGCAAATCCCTGGTCCACAGAGGGCCCCAATCCTTAGGGTAAGGCCGGAAGGACCAGGCCAGCCAGAATCCATGTTATGGTTGCAATTAATTCTAGTAATCTTATTAGCATGAGTGTAGGTTCTTTTATTGTTTTTAGTGTTTTCTCTGTAATGCTTTTTACCTTAAGAATGAAGTAGGCTTGCATAGAAATCTGTATGGTATTTATATCTGTAGTAGTTACACTTGTATCCATCTCTAAAGAGAAAGCAAGTAGGTGTCCTTGGGCAACCTGTCTGTGCTGGGAAATACACAGTGAAGGCAGGGAACTGTGCAGTCTAGAAATACGCCAGTCAGAAAGGAGAGAAACATGTATTTCCACCCAGAAAGGCAATGGTTGGGGAGCTGGAATCCCTGAGCGTGAGCGCCCTTGCTGAACCACTACGAGGAAATACATGTGCAGTTGCCCTGAACTGTGACAAATGTCACTCCAGATAAAAAGCTTTGGACAAGGAAAGTTGAGTGGAAGAGCACTAGACCCCTTTCTGATATTTCTGGGGCTTCCCCTGTTTCCCATAAAAGCCTGGCTTCATCTGGAACTGTGATGCTATGACCTCCTCACCTGCACTTGGGCCAGATAAATCCTCACAGTCAGTTTCCAGGTGCATAGTGGGAACCGGTGAGAATTAAGGCCGAAAGCGTCAACATTAACTCCTATGGGTATTTCCCCATAGGTTCACTGGGATTTTGTACCATTTAGAGCAGCCTTTCCCAGTCTCCTCTCAAGCCTGTGGTGCTTCTCTTGCACAAAGGAGCTTTTGCAGGGTTAAAGGGAGGGGGTCTGCTGCTGTTACTAAGGGGCAGTTCCTAAGCAATTTATAGTACTTTGAACAGGTTTTCCATTCTTCTCATCCCCTTGATGGTAAGTATCACAAGGAGTGATCCGATCTGATCCCATGTTTCCCTCTTAGTGGGAATTCAGTAGTTTATGTTTTTAATGCACTTTATTTACTCCCACCTTTAAAAATAAGACATCTAAAAATAAAAAATTTTAAAGCTTCAAAAGCAGCTGTAGAGAGTTGCTCCTTTGCAGAATAAGTCTGATTTGCTGCTGCAAGGGGGTCCTCATAGCAAACGCTGAAACCTCAAAAGCGTCGTTCTAGTTTGAGGGGAGACAAACAGTAAAATTCTACAGTTTGTCCTGCAGGTTCACTGCACTTTTCAATTGATCGTATTGTAGTATTTTCAAAGATGTTTTGCTTTCTTCTTACCTGCTTTTTCTTCTTGTATATGTTTGTCTAATATTGCTGTTTCTATTATTTCTTTCATGCCCACAAAGAGACACTATTGCTCTGTGAAGTGGACTTGCAGAAAATCTAGGACCAATAAAAATAAAAAGTTGGAGCTTTTAATACTTCCTTATGGTCTAACGTAGAAACCAGCTGGAAATTAGGAGAGCTAGCACGATGTTATCTGCCTACTCTGCACAAATCAACAGCAAGGGCTTCATGGGCCACCAGTGATCCATGGATCATATTTTGGGAACAGCAGCATAACATCAACAAGGATTGAAGAACAAAGTCCTCAATGACATAGGTGCTGGAACTAGGGGTGTTCGGGGTCTATCACACCCCCCGGCTTGAAGTGGTTTCCATTATATACCGGGCTTACAGTTTGGTTCAAGGCTCTCAGCATCCCCAGTATAAAAATTGTTCCAGCACCCCTGCTCAAGGATTGAGAGTTGGCATAGTCCTACTAGATGTTCCTAGTGGCCAGTTACATAGCAGGGAAGGAGAATCAACTGCAGACATACTCAGTTGATCATAAACTCCCAATGGTTGACTCCTGGAAGTGGTGCATCAGAACTTCCTCATGTGAGCCATACCTGAGAGAGACTGATTTATCACATTTCTGCACCAGCTATGACTGTTCTGTGTCAGAAGATGAGAAACAAATGTTGCTGGAATGGATGCTTGCTCTTTTAAAGATGACCTGTGAAGGGGGAAAGACTGTGTTCTTTCTGTTTCTTTATGATGTAAAAAGAAAGGCCTCAAGGAATTTTGGTTTTTAAAGGGTATTTTAAAGACCACTTTTTAACAATATAAAAGTGTCAAACATTGAGTTCTCTCTTTGTGTTGGAGAACTTGAGAAGCAGTGGGGTTCTGACATATTGAAACCTGAACAGAAGGGAAGAGAGTCTTAGGCTTTGTCTACTTGGCAAAGTTTTACCAGTTATACAGGTATAGTTATCCTAGTATAACCACCCAGGTGGACACTTACTCCACTATAAGAGTAGTTCTTTTTGTTTAACTCAACCCCCTTCCCAAGCGACATAACTGTAATATAAATAATAATAATAATATCAGTTTAAATTCAGACCGTATCTTATACTAGTATAACTTTCCTCTGAAGACAAACGGTTTTAAAATGTCTTTTTTGTTTTGTTTTTAAACATCTGTTTAATTCAGACATCTGTCAACTAGTTGAAAGAAATGCTGTTTTGTTAAAGATTCATCAGTCCTGTCCTTTCACTTAAGGGCTGAGAGGAGAGATCTTCCAGTCTCTTTGGGTTCTTCACGGGACTTCTCTAGCAAAACAAGAGGAGATTTGACACTCCTGATATTTCTAAAGTAAAAACAAGCAGGAAAACTTAAACAATTTTTCATAAAGCAAAAAAAGTCACAAACCCACTCCCCCACCCCGGTCACTTTTAAAGCCATGAAATTTAGCTGATAATTTTTCATCAGTTCATCTTGTTATACTTCTTGTACCATGTGTGGGATACTTTGGAGGGGATATATTCTGTGATTTCAGTCACAGAATTGTACTACAGAATATTAGCTTTCATTTAAAAAATAATTTTTAGCCCATAAGGTTTTGGAGATGAACTTGTGTAGCCTGATCTATAGATTATGTATTAATTATATTGATTGATTAAAAATTCCCAGTTATCATTTTGAGGGTTGGCATGAACAAGTGTAATCTCATGGAGTGTTGCTCACCTAAGTCAGCAGAGAGCCTGAAACAGTAGCTTTACACAGTGTGAACTGACCCATTCATCTCAATAAGAGCACTGTAGAATTTGACATTTTTCTAAGATGTCATAGTATTCCGCACTTTGCTACAGTCAAGCACCTGATTTTGTTTTCTGTCTCATGGCCCAACTGGGCCCTGCCTGCAGCTTTCCCCACAAAGGGGTGATAATTGGTTTATGTTGTGTGCTCCCTGCACTGTTCCATGGAACCAGACAGATAGTTTAGCTTGTAGTTAGTCAGAGGGAATCGGGTACGATGGGCTGGGCTGCCTGGAGAAGAGTTCAGCAGCCAGGGTGATGAGTTTCTGAAGCTGGTTACAAACTGCTGTTTCCAAGGCTTATGTGTTGGAGAAGGCAGTTCTGAGACTTGCCTCCTAGACGGCACTGCAGGGTTTGAAGCTTGGAGAGTGGAGTTGGATCACTTGGAAAACTCAGCAAAAAACACATCATCCAAAATAAGTGACAAATGAAAATATTGTGAGCCATAGTTTCGTATGAGTTCTTGTAGTGGTGGGAGGGATGAGCATGAACAATATTTAATGGCTATGCAAGTATTAATGTTGCTGTAGAATGTAATGACGTTGTGGAATTTAGGGTTGCTTGCCATGTGATCTGGGCGATGCAAAACAAAGGGACTTGAATACTCTGTAATTTCCTCCAATACTGGGATTTTACATTACTTAAGCACGGCTGGATAATTTAAGGATGGGATATCTTTCTTAAATCTAAATAAAATCTAACCTTATCATATATGGTCAGATTCTTCTACCCTTACTTATGTTGATTAATACCCTATGCCACAAGAACTCAATGGGCCAGCTTGTGCAGTATTTGCGTACTCCAGAAGAGACGTTTTAGTCCAGGGCTAGGGCACTAGGCTGGGACTCAGGAGATTTGGTTTCTGTTCCCAGTTCTGCTACTGACCTGCTATGTGACTCTGAGCAGTCACTTCTCCTCTCTGTCCCTCTGCTTCACCCTCTGTCTGTCTCGACTATTTAATTTATAAATGCTGTGGGGCAGGGATTATATCTTAGAACAGTGGGGCCTGGTTTAAGTTGAGGTGGCCTCTAGGTGTTACAGTAATACAAATAATAGAGCAAGGATGGCATATCTAGTCCATAATTTATTTTTAGTCTAATTTTTTTCTTAATGTTGAAAAAGTGACCAAAATAGACTGTGATAACGATAACCTTAGAACAGAATTATGCCTTGGGATATGCATGCACATTTCCCATCCCATTGAATTAACTGGAAAATTTTGTGTTGATCATAGTGCAGAATTTGGCCCTAGGATAGCATTCTCACCAACTTCCGGAAACAGAGGATAAAGCAATTTGCGCTCTAAGCCCTAACGCAAATCAGCATTTGTTTTAACACAAAGTGTGACTATGGTAATAAAGATGGACTAAGAAATAAAAGTGAAAAGTTAGTGTGTCCAAGAGTGAAATACCTCTTAAAGCCCTATTCTGTACTTCCTGAAGTGATTAAAAAAGGGAAATTACTCTTCACATTTCAATTTTAAAGTGGTTGTGGGCAATATTCTGATTTTTGCATGCATATGTGATGTTTCCATTGACTGCAGTTGGTGCTCCATGTGAGTATCCAAAGACAGGCTTTGTTTAATGCTTCACATCTGGTTAAGTGATACTTACCCTTCCATTTTTTATTAGAAAAAACTAAACTAAGATTTTAAAATAGTCAAAAGATAGGATGCTCCTGCAACTATAGTTTTATAGAAAGTTGTGGCTGGTCTAATGGATAGGTTTAGAATACAAGACACAGTCTGTGTCCTTACTTGCTGTGTTATGCTGGAAAAGTTGCTCAGGGTCTGATTTTTTTCAGACATGCTGAGCAACTGTAGCTTCTGTTGACTGCAGTGGTGTTGGTGCTTAGCATCTCTGAAAATCATGTTCTTTAACCTCTTTGCTTCTCAGTGGCTCCTTCTGTAAAATAAGGGCAATACTAGGGATTGAGGGCTAGTTCATGTTTATAAAGGGAGTTTAGATCTCTGTAAAGAGGTGATATGCAAATGATATAATTATTATTATTGTTGCTGTTATTCAGTTGGCAACTTATGAATACGTGATCGATATAAAATTGTTCTTGTTTTCAGAAATCATTTTGAAGGCAACAATGTAAACTATTTTTGTGCATATGACCCTAGTTAAGTCAACTAGAGCAGAAGTTGTAGCTTAAGGGTTTAATAAATACGTATAATGTACATATAATGGATATATCAGCTTTAAGATTTGTAATTGAAACATTATGTAGGAATGCACAGACAGATAATAAAAAATCTGTGTTGTTTCCTTTTGGACTGGAATTCAAGAACATTTAAAGAGTTTTAAGACCTTTCCAAGCATAACAACGTCATGTGATCTTTGGCTCAGCAAAGGTTTGTTGAGTAAGTGATGTATTACTACATTACAAAATGCACGCTTGGTCAGAAGACACCAAAATAATGCAGGAAAAGTGCAATCTGCTTAACTTAATACAAGATGTTTTTGCAAAGTGTGTCCCTGTGCAGTGTAAATGGTTGGTGATCTGACTGAATGACATATAGCCCTAATAATCACTAAGCTACATACCTCAAACTGGATATAGAGTCCATTAGTTGGATGATAACTGCAAGTATTAACTGGAGATTGCAACTTTGTTGTACAACAGCTCTCATACAAGCAGTTATTTAGCTATATTTGACATGAAACTGTATGCTGTAGGGAGAACAAGGCTGCTGTTCAATGTTCTGTATTGTTACTGTAGCAGCCCTAACTAATTTTAATATCTCTGTTCCAGTCTGAGCAGTTCTCTGTCTCTCTGTGACTTTAAGGGCTTTATTTTCATTTTGTAATTTTTCTTCAGGCAGTCGCAAGGACAAAGATAAACCTCCAAGCCTCTCTGTTGTCCTTGAGACTTTGAGGAATACCTTGACAGATTACCAGAACAAGCTGGAAGATACATCTAATGAGGTAACATTTGCACTGTTTGGCTCCATAAATATAGCCTTCGGCCTGCAACAGTACGTATTCCTCACTTGTTACAAAGGTCAAAAGATTGGGAATGTTGAGTTGACAGCTACATGGATACTAAAAAGAAATAATCTCTGTCACTACTCTTCCTAAGCTTGCCCTACAGTAATGTTCCACTTAAATAGAAAAAATAGTTTATATATTTTTATTTTGAGCTGTTTTCAGTAAACTTACACAGAAATATGACACTTTCCATCCTCCATCTAGGGCTTTAGGTAAAAGGTGACGTAAGTATTTTAAAAATGCAATGTAGTACTTGAATTTTAACGTGCATTGGTATCAGTTGTGTAAATGTGAGGGGCCCCACAAGAAAAGTAACGTTATTTTCAGAGATCAGTTGTGTTATTGATGAAGATTGTTAAATTTCATGGTTTGGGTTTTTTTATGTCATACAGAGGAAGAGATATCTGCATTATACTTTTCTAAAGGTAAAAAAAGAACAGTAACAAACATTTCTATTTTAAAAAAATGTATTTTTCATGCAGTCCTAGAGGCTTTTAGTCACTGGCTGAAAAGTCTGTCTTGTATTTATTTTCTTATTTATATTGCTAATGTGATTTGGTTAATCCTCTTGGGTTTAAAATGTTTTATGAAATGTAGGTTTAAACACAGTAGAGAGCAGTTAACTACATCTTCTCTAAGTCCTTTAATTGTACATAAAATTGGCAAAGCACTGAAATGTGTCAGTATTTTATTTTTTTTCTATTCCTAAGCTTTGTCTTTTGTTTGATAAACTTATTGTTTATCCAGTCACTCATTACATTTGAAATAAATCATATTAACTTTGCTGTTTTTATTGGGGAAAAATAATCTCTGTCAAGTCCTCTGAGATTTGTTCAAGGGGCACAAGAATAAGTGACCACAGAAACAATTATACTTCTGTAAACAGCAAGCACTGTTAAGTCTCTGCAGTGAGATAAGATAACCAATGTGTTTAGTAGTTTATGAATCTCTTTTGAGGCCCAGGTCTAGAAGCTGAAGAATAACTAGGAGCACATTACCCACAGTGAATTGTTACTTGGGAGGATGAATGTCACATGATTCTCAGCACAGTTGAAAAGTCTACTCAGCAGGCTTTGGCTTAGTAATGTGCTTTGTTGTGAAACAGTGCCAGAGACAGCAGTGGGGAGGCCAAGGGGGTGGCTGCTAAGAAAGCAAAGAGAGTACTCTGACAGAAAGAAGAATGAACTGTCAAGGAAAATAAATCGCAAGCTGATGACCTGCCACAAGACTTCCCAGTAGAACTGCATGTGACAGACCCTGAAGTTGTCATGCGGAGCCAGAGACCACTGAATGCCCTCGTGGTACACAGAAAGGGCAGTGTTCTCTCCTCCTTGATTTTCCCCATAGATGCCGCTGCTTCTGGCTTTTTGTGCATTTTGTCCTTAGACATGTTTTCTAATAAAACTCTTTTAATATTAGAATAAAACTCTCAGGGATTATCAAGAACACCATCCAATAAAAATAACTTGCTTTTATATGCAGCGCTAAGGTTTTAGGCTTGTTTAATTCTGTTAAGTTTTGTAGGATATAGACTTATGACAGGACCCCACACATAGATGGATGTAACCAATGATTTGGCTTTACATATATGTCTGGACCTGTTTGGTGAACTTGTGACATTATATTAGCTCTAATTTACTAAATAAACGTAAGAGCTAATAACTCTCAATTTCTGTAGAGCTAGTAAATATTAAAATTAGAGCATTCACTTTCACGTGTCTATATGAGTTCGGGGGATGAGTAGATGAGGTCTGGCTGGCTGAAACACAGTATGGGAAAGAGAGAAATAATTTTGGTAAATTGGGGAAAGCAACTAATAGAGTAGGCAAGGATTATATCAGCACCCCTGATTGAGGGAGACATGCAGTGGCCATTTGTGAAGTGTTTACAATTTAGATGTACTACAGAGTTCTGTGCAACTCCTGGCTGGTCAGGTGGCAGCAATGACCAAGATCGCTATATTCTGCCTATCTCTTTGTATCTTTCGCATACAAACTTGGCTACCATTATTTGTGCCTTTTGACACTCAAGATTAGATTACTGTTAGACTGCTATGTCGGTCTATACACTGAAACTGGAAGATGAATCTAGCACATATTGTGGCCACCTGTTTATCAGAAAAGTGCATCTGGAAGAGGGCACATAACTCCAGTGCTCCAATCAGTAGGTGCTTGTAATGCCCTGAATAGTTTGGGATTAGGTGACTTGAGAGACTATGCCTCTCCTTGAGTTATGCTGCTGTTGTTGCAATCAGCAGAAATGCATGAGCTGGAGTCCCCTCAGTTTAAGAGGGAGGATGCTGCTTTTAGGGCATTTTCTGGGAGGGGCTATTGACTTTGAAACTTGCTTCCTGAAAGTCATTAGGAGCTGGATTTCTTAAATTTTCTGGCACATTTCAAAGACTTTTTTCCCCCCAGACATTTGAGAGTTCACAGGCAAAAGCAATAGTGAATTTGGTTTGGGGTTATTGCTGCTATTATTTATTTGTAATATCATTATTAATATTTAATATATCAAACTTGTTTAGTGGTAATCTGTTAAATTGTTTACAATTGATGTCTGAAGAGTTTTCTAATACATTCTGGTTTTACATTTGTATAGGCAATATTATTTTACGTTTAAGTACCTACATAGCCTCCGCAACTCCCAACTGTTTTTTTTCTTTTTTTCTCAGCTAAAGAAAATGAAAGCTTCATGTGAGAAGATGACAAAAGAGATTGACTCATCCAAACAAAAAATATGGTCTCAAAGTCAAGACCTTAAGGTATATTTTTATGAACTGTAACTTCTTAACATACTACATATATTTCTGGTATGTTTCACTTAACATATTATCCTGCAGATACAATCTATCTCTGTTATCTCAAAATAAGTGTTTGTATCACTTCTCTCTATTGAGTAGAATGTCAAACCTCAAGTGGTTGAAGCCTACAGACGTTATAAGCCTACCTATGTGAACATTTCAAAGGTTGCATTAGTGAAGTAATATCTGTTTAAACAGATGATCTGATCCTTGAATAGTCCTCTTACTTCATCATTTTGTGCTTGTTTGTTTGGCAAGGGTAGCTCTTCTGTGTTGAATTCATCCTCAACATTTTTTTCTGCTAGCTTTTAGTTTTTTATATTTTGTTCTGTATGCATAAAATGTGCATATGAAATTTATCCTCAAATATTTTTCAGCTCAACTGTCTGATAATTTTTCACATTTGTCACTTAATTACTCATTCACTTATTTATGAAAATACAATTCAGTTTTAAAATATTCACTTTTCTTTTTCATGTAATGGTCAGATTATTTGCTTCAGAATAAAGTTTTCTAGTATTACTGGGGAAAATGTGTTTCAGCCACATGATAAAAAACTAACAGACAAACAGGAATGAGAATGTATTAATTCTACAGTTTTACTGAGGGGGATATAAAGAGATCAATAGAAAGCTGAGGATGGACCTCTGTTCATCTCAGTGGCTGCACCTGTGGGAAATTTGATCACGTACATTTAGATTATGTATATGGATCTCATCTGAAAGCATTTGGAAGCTTTCAGTTACAGAACTGTAAAGTTTAAAGTCATGGTTTGAAATGTGCAAAACTTACAGTAAAGACAGATATCAGTGAAATTATTATGGATATTATGGCCAAATTTTGTGTGTAATCCCGCCAAATATTAGGTAATCCTGACATTTGGAGAGATCTATAGGCCTAAATTACTGCTAATAAGAAATTGCTGATCTCTAAGACAAGCACTTCTCATGGATATCTGGAGTTCTGATTTTATAGCCTTTTTCAAATTAGAATTTGTTTTTGTCTTTCTTTTGTAGTGTGTCATGTCTGGGTACATCAGTGACCAAGGGACCGAGGAAAGTCCTGAGGTCACTGTTAAACTCTGTCTTCCAGCTGGCAGCATTTTGTATTACTGCCAAGTTTGAGTGTGGCCACTCCCAAGGTTTCTCAGATTCTTTTACTGGAGATACAGTGTTTCATTGTTTCAATTTATTATTGAGAGACTGTGTTAGCATTCATTGGTAGTAACACAGTGGCCTTCCATTTTATGAACTGAACTTGTCTAACATTAATTAATTTAGATTCAGAACACCCCTGTGAAGTAAAGTGCTACTTTCCTGATTTGAGTAGAGGAGGATACTAATGAACAATAAGATTCTGTGAGGTGTTGAGTACCAACTTCTCCCCTTGAAGTCATTAGAAGTTGAGACTGCTCAGCACCCTAGAGGATCAGGGCCCAAATGACTTGCCCCGGAATACACAGGAAATTGGTGGCAGACCTGACAATAGAGCCCTGATTTCTGCCTCCTAGACTTTTGCTTCAGCCACAATGCATTTTTTTAAAGCATCCTAAAGATTTTGCAGATTTTTTTTATAATGCAAATGTCTACTCTATATGAGACCTATTCTACCAACTATTTTTTTTCTAATAGGCACTCTTTTGAGATAGTGAACCAGTTTCTGATCAGAGTTACACAGGTGTAAATCTGTAGAAACTCAATTTAATGTGTAACTCAGCACAGAACCTGGCCTAGTATTTCTTCATGGTAGAGCTTGCTTAAAGAAAGTTGCCCTATTCTTGGATTTGAATATTTTTGTTAAGAAATTATATGAAAATACAGTTGTGATGAGTACCTTAGTAAACAACTGATAGTATACTTCACAATTAGACAAAAGTGATTTTATGATCTAAAAACCTATAGGCAAACATTTCAACTAAATGCTTTCAATATTCAGTATTAAGTTGATTTGGTCGTATGAACTTGGTGGTCACGAAAGGTGTCAGATTACCAGCCCTGGAAGTAGAAGTTCTCTGCTCACAGAAGAGGTAGAGCATGCGTGTCTATTCTCACCTAGCAGGCTACCTCTTGCTGTAAAAGTCTTCTGAGGTTTAGTGCTGGTTGGTACATTTGTACCAACTGGTACAATTTCTGATTTCACATTGACCACTAAATATGAAACAAGATGATAACAGTCCTTGGTTGCTACCAATCTGGGCTGCATTGGAACCAATGATTTACAGAAGAAAAGTACTGTATCCTTTTATCAGGGCCACCCAGTTCCTTATATCTATAGGAGGCTGTATCTTTATATTGTCAGATTTTCAACTGAAGGAACACTGTATACTCTCTCTGTAAGGAGACAAACCCAGCCCCAAAAGGAAGGCAGTTGTATTATGAAGACTTTGACCTTGGAGATGGATTAAAAAGGGAGAAAAGGGAATAATCCTGTAGGATTTGTCCTTTTGCTCTACACTATTCCCCTACTCCCAGAGGAAAACAGTGTCAAATTTTAATTTCAGTCTATCATTAGAAGTAAGCAGATGGATTATTTTAGGTTGTTTTGAAAATATCTCTCTATATAGATCTTTGCTTCCAAGGATACTGAATGTTGGCCAAGGTAATGCTGTATGGTGTAAAACTGTTGCCAACCTTTCAGTTTGTGTGTCTGTTCTGTAGGAAGCTCAGGATAATCTGGCTGATGCCAATGAAGAGTTAAATCATCTACGCACTAAGTGTGCAGACAGAGAGGCTTTAATAGGCACTTTAAAAATGGAACTGCAGAATGTACTTCACTGCTGGGAGAAAGAGAAAGTCCGTGCCACAGAATCAGAAAATGAAATCCAGAAGCTTACCAAGGCTTACCAGAAGGATACTGAGGTATTACCATAGACCAGATGACTGTCAAAAAGAGCCTTTATTTAATCTTAGCTTTGTACATTTACATACATCAGATGGTTGCTTTATGTTTTAACAGATTTATCTGCAAAATATGATTTTAAGATACGTATTTTGAAATGTGTATTTACCATCTACAAAATTTTCAAGTGTCTTAATTCTCTTTCATTCCATTTTATAAAATGAGTTAACAGTTTAACCCTTCTGGTCATTTACATTTTAAAATATCTGTCTCTTAGCAGTTATTGTTTAGGGCAAATGCATTTATTTAAAGAATCATGCCTTGGTACTGTTTTGTTTTTTTCTTTTTGTTTTTTTGTTACTTAATTGAAAGTAAATATGTACATTTTGTATTTAGAATCTCTTGGTGTTAATTACTGATTCAAATAGCAACCCCTCTCCCCTCCAAAAACAGGTCATTTTGCTCACCCACTACCAAAGTAGTGTTTCCTGTGCTGCTTTGGAGTGATTGCACCTGTCCATTTCATTTCAGGTATGTGTGTGCCCAGTGCACCAGGGCCGGAGACTCTCTTAGCAGTATTCATTAGGGAAGCACATACATCCTTAGCACTCTTGCACCACTGCACAAGGGTATAAAGGGGAGCTGCTTAGTCCCTCCCTTAATTCCTTCTTATCACCCATGATTGGTAGTTGGAGTGTGTCAGGTTGCAGTCCGAGGTTTCTCCCACTTCATGGATTTTTATCTTTCTCCTGCAAATAGTAGTACTTGTAAGTGTACGTTTTCTTTATTTTCTATTACAACTTTGAGCATCTGATTCCTAGTATACAAAAGGAACTGGTACCAGGATATTTTTCGGTCTCTGGGCTATAAGTCTTGTGCAGCTTCAAAAAATCTGTGCTGGTGAGTGACTCTCATTTCAGGTACCTAAGGTGCCTCAGAGAGGGTCACATTTGAGATCATTGCAAGATCTGCAGGACTTCAGATCCCAGACAAAAAAGGACAGAGATGAGACTGCATTACCTCCGTATGGAGGCCACCTGCATCCACCTGCTGAACCTTCCCTCTTGGGGCAGGCCCTGAGTACTTCTACCTCAGTTAGGAGTGCCCTTCTGGACATTGCATCTTATAGTAGGCACCATTCCCCTTCTCTGGTGCTGAAGAAGAAGCACAGAGTATCAGAATAGCATTCCCCAAAGAAGCCAAGTTCCTCTAGAAGTTTGAGGTTCCCTGTACTGTCCACTAATAAGCACTGGGAGATAGAGTATCATCTGGAAAGAGGTACTCCCTGATACTGATTTCTTCTCATCAAGAATTGTCAGCTCTCAGTCATTGAGGATTGTCTACCCCCATTGCAGTTCTGACCCCTTTGATGCAATAACAGCAGCATCATGGAAATATCTTGATATGGAAAACACTGGAATTATATATAGCACCATGGGACCTGTTCTTCCTCTTGATGCTGGATTCTGTAGAAGTGTCTGAGGTTTCTTCACCTGTTCAGGATCACTACCAGGGGTTACTAACGAGAGTAGCTGCCTCGATATTCAGGAGAGTTCCCATAGGCTGGTGGACATACAGGGTTGGCTCTACCTATAAACAGTCATTCTAGAATCTACAAAATATTTGTGGCAAATGCCATCCTCTCTGCCTCAGACAGCTAAGAGGACAGAGAGAAGGTACTATATTCCTTCTCAAGCTATGAACATTTTTACACCCAACCTTCTCCAGGCTCCTTAGTTGTCTTGGCAGTGAATGAAAGAGTGCATCAGGAATGGCCTTCTATCCCAAAGGACAAAGATGCAAAGAGACTAGACCTTTTCGGTAGAAAGATTTATTCCACAGCTGGCCTACAGTTTTTTAATGCTAACTAGCAAGCCTTACTGGCCAGATACAACTTCTCCTTCTGGGACAATGTAATGAAGTTCTGAGACAAATTGTCAGATGATGACAGGCAGGAATTCTAGGTTATTTTAGAAGAGGGAAAACTGGTGGCTAGGACCTCTCTGCAAGCTGCCTTTGATGGGGCAGATTCAGCAGCCAGAGCATGGCATCTACAGTAACCATGTGCAAATGTTCATGGTTTCAATTGTCTGCACTCCCGCAGGAGGTCCAGCAGACTATCCAGCATCTCCCCTTTGAAGGTCCTACCCTGTTCTCATAGAAGACAGATGATAAGCTCCAGTCTCTAGGATTTACACTCCTTTCCTTAAAAGAAAGCAAATTCTATCCTCAGTCTTTCTAGAGGTACCTGCTTGTCCTGCCTAAACAGCCTGACCACTCCAGAAAAAGTGGTGGTGGTGGGGGGGAACCAGAGGAGGAGATGCCCACCACCTCCGTTTTCTTCCACTGCAGATTCTTTGAGACAGTCTGGAAATCCCCAAGCAGATCATTGTGCTAGTTTCTCCCTCCTCAAAGATTATCCCACTTCCATATGTGCTTGGACCCATATTATTATGGATAGATGGGTTCTAAGTACTTGGGATCAGGGTTACATGCTGCAGTTTATTTCCAACCCTCCCTCCCATCCCCCTTCCCTATCCATCTCAGGGACACTCTCACGAGGCTGTCCTCCTCCAGGAGGTCCAGTCTCTCCTTGATTTGGGAGCTATGGAAGAGGTGGGAAAGGTTTCTATTCACATTACACCTCTACCCCGATATAACGCTGTCCTCAGGAGCCAAAAAATCTTACCACGTTTTAGGTGAAACCATGTTATATCAAACTTGCTTTGATCCACCGGAGTGCGCAGCCCCGGCGGGTCGCGTTATATTGGGGTAGAGGTGTACTTCCTGATTCAAAAGGCAAAAGGAGGTCTCAGAATTATCCTAGACTTGCAAAATTTAAACAAATATATACAAAAAAAAATTTCATGGTCAACCTAACCTACATCATCACCCTGGATCCTGACAACTGGTACACTGCTCTCAATTTGAAGGATGCGTTTCCATGTGGCTATCCATTAAAGCCACAGGAGACTTCGAAGACTTCTGGTCAACAACACCCATTACCAGTTTATGGTCCTGCCCTTTTGCCTGGCTGCTGCCCCATGAGTATTTACAAAATACATGGTAGTGGTGGCTCCTTTCTTAAGGAAAGCAGGGATGCAAGTATTTCCTTACTTGAACAACTTGCTGGCAAGAGGTTGATCCAAGCTCCAGTCTATACAGGATCCAATCCCTCTTCAGTGTTCTGAGTCTGTTGATCAATGAGGACAAGTCCGTCTACTTCCCAGTTCAGAGCAGTCCTGGATTCTACAGTAGCCTGGATGTTCCTACCTCAAGCCATTTCCACACAATATTAAACTTTTCCTCAGATCTCTAAGTCCATACAGTCACAACAGTAAAAAACTGCCTCAGACTACTGGGACACATGGCCACCTGCATGTATGTGTTTCAGCATGCCAGACGTTGTCTCAGAAAGCTGCAGAGCTGATGAAAGTCAGTGTACTCTCTGGCTCATCACCCGTTGGACATGCTGATTTGAGTACCTGCAGGAGTACAAGCCTCATTGGTCGGGTGGATAGGTCCTTCCCTTACCCACATTGACTGTGGTTACAGATGCTTCTTCTGTAAGCTGGGGAGCTCACTTAGGAAACTTACAAACTCAAGGTCTGTGGTCTCATCAAGATTTGGCTGACCACATAAACATGTGGGAATTGTGGGCTATTCATCTGGTCTGTTGGGCTTTTCTCCCTCATGTCAAGGGAGAGACCCAAGACCTCCTGGACAATACTGGCGATGTATTGTGCGACAGGGAGGGGCCAGATCAGACCATCTCTGTCAAGAGGCGATGTATCTTGGGGAGTTTTGTACCACCAGTGCAATACATCTCTAAGCCTCCCATCTTCCTGGTATTCAGAACAGTCTGGCAGATCACCTGAGCAGTTCATTCATCAGAGATCACAAGTTGTCTCTCAGGTTGGATATTGTCAGATTCGTTTTTCAAATGCATGTGGAGGGGTCCCTCACAGAGACCTGTTTGCTGCCCGTCTCAACAGAAAGTGCCAATTCTTTTGTTCCAGGGCAGATCACAGGCAGGGCTCTCTGATTGATAAACTGCTGTATACCTACCCTTCTATTCCACCCCAAATCCTGTGCGGGCAGTCCCCCTTCTTGTGTCCGGTCATCCACACTGCCAGCAGACAACTGGTCTGGACCCGGTGGGAGCCCCTTGGGTGTCCTCCCGTTTGTTCTCCTCCTGGCCCTTCCCAGGCGGGGTTTCCCTAGGCCTTCTCCATGTCCCTGCTCGGCCATTCCTCTTTCCTGGGGAAGTCCGCCTCTGCATCCCCGTAAGCTTTATAGCTGACTCGACTGTAATCTGTTGGTGCCTCCTCACCCACACCTTTATGTTCTCAGGGAGACTCTGTAAAAACTGCTTTAGGACAAGCGTGTCCATAATCTCCCCCACTGTCTGGGCATCCGGGCTCACCAGTGGGTGGCCCAGTCCATTAACTTTTGGGCAAATGCCTGAAGCCGCAAACCCCCAACCCCCCCCCCCATCCACCTCGCTGACCGGAACTTCTGGCAGTACTTCTCTGCAGACAGCCCCACCCGATACAGGACAGCTGCCTTTACTGCCTCATAATTCCTGGCCTGCTTTTAACTTAGGGGCATGTAGGCTGCTTAGGCTTCACTGGCTAGGGTAGGGAGCTAATCGCAGAGCCGAGGTTACCCTGTCCTATCCAGCCCCAATGGCTACCCGCTCAAATGTGCTTAGGAAGGCGTCGGGGTCATCTGTCGGGCCCATTTTACACAATCCTAAACCCGGCGCCCAAACGCCATCCCCTCCCTTGGAACTCACCACTTTCTGCAGGAGCTGTTGTTGGATGCCGGCCTGCTCCCGAATGAAATCCTGCAGGCTTTTCTGCTGCTCTGCCTGCCAGGTGAGCAAGGCCTGTCTCTCCAGCTGGTGGGCTTGCTGAAAACTCTGCATTGCCTTCTGCACCTCCTCCTGCTGCTTGACCAGCCATTGCAGGGTCTCCTCCATCTCCGGGCTGCCAAACACTTGCTCTGGCACAGGATCCCGGATAAGCCCCCACATTTAGCAGAGTGCAGCAAGTCCCTCCTGCCTCTGCTTGGTCCACAAAGTCACTCTGAGACCTTGGGATTAGCAACCACTGGTGTAGTTTATTCACAGACTTGTTCCCACCACCGTTTCACCATGTAAAGTTGTCCCTTCACTGTCTGCAGACAGGAGGGAGGGAGGGAAGAGCTACCTCCCTGCTTCCACTCCCTGCCTTTTCACATTCTTTCTGCTCTCCCCTCTCCTCGTTTTCTTCCTTTGAGGCTTTTATACAGCCTCAGGCTAATTAGGCGGCAGCTGTTTCTGCTTCCCCAATTAGGGCCAGGTTACCTCTAGCCAGTTCTAATGTATTCCCTAAATAGGAGCTGGGTGACAGAGGGCTGAATCAGCAAGCCTTTGCCCAGCACCCTGTCACACTGGACTAGTAGTTCTTAAATCCTTGTTCTGAAACTCATCTCCAATTTGAACTGCTTGTGAGTCACATGGCATGGAATAGACATGTGCAATCAGTTGAAGAAAAACCGTTATTAATCTCTTCTGTAACTGTTGTTCTTTGAGATGTGTTGCACACATCCATTCTGCGACCCACCCTCCTTTCCCTCTATATTGGAATTTCTATGCGGGCAGATGGAATTAAGGAGGGTTGGGGGTGGCCTCGCCCCTTTTTTTACCATCATGCAGCAGCATGAAAGTCCTAAGGGCTCATGTGCTGCCCCAATAGGTATCACTAAGGGAAAAATCTCTGATTTTGGTTCACTGGGCACGCACAGATCTGAAGTGGAATGGACATGTGCAATGTATCTCGAAGAACAACAGTTACAGAACAGGTTAGTACCTGTTTTTTCTTTGTGTATTAGCTGATTGTGGTATGCTATATGTGGTAATTGCTTCATGAAGCTTTACTTCAAAACCAGATTTCCTCATATGGTTGTTTACTGATCTTAATAATTGCTTCCTTTTAATTTTCTCCACATAAAATAGTTCTGCATTAGCTATATCAATCATATTCTTTATCTCATTGTTCTGCATATTGAGCTCATTACTCCAGCAAATATGGTCACAAATGCCAAACTGAGTAAAAAGGAAACATTCTTTCCACCCTTCTTACAGTCTGGGATTTAAATTGTGTCCACATGAAGCAGTTGGAATTGTTCTACACATCAGATAGTGATTAAAGGAAAGGAAACTAGAAGCCTGACTGTATTGTAAAGTCAGCATGTCTACTTGTGGTTGAGATCAACATGTGTGAGTTGATTCTGGGACTTGGGATTTCTTTTTCTCACCAAAGGGCTGATTATCATGCTTGGTTTATCACAGCCCAAACAAAAAGGAAACAATGGTGACATGGTTAAACTATTCCCAGGGAAGTAGAAGATTAGGTTGTAACATTTTATAGAATGTTTTATTGCTTAAAAATTTTATGAATTACAAACAACAAAATGTACCCAAATGTAGTTGGAAAAGACACAGTAGTAATTGCAGTTGCACTGGAAGTGGGGTTGGGGAGAGATGGGGAGAGTCCTTAATACCTTTATGAAGTCTCATGATTTCTTGACTTAGTACCTGATCCAATACCCATTGCTTTCAGTGGGCATTGGTTAAATGGGCTTTGGATCAGAGCCCTATTTGTGGTGTTGGAACCATCTTTGATTTGTCTTAATTTTAAGTTGCTAGACTTCATAGATGGACTAAATAGATGCACAAACAGATTCTGATCTCACTCTGGTGTGAATAAGTACTAACACTACTGAAGTCAATTCAGTATGCTATAGTGTAAAATCCAATGTAAATGAGATCAGGATCAGGCTTGTAGAGTTTAACTGATGCTCATAAAAACCAGTTTTGTACAGTTAGGTGTTCACATATAATCCATGTAAAGAACAAACATCAAATCAAATTATTTTAAAAATGTGCTTCTGTTTTAAAAATAATCTAATTTGGTGTTTGTATAATCAAAATTTTTGCTGCCATGCTAATTAACCTTTTTGTTACTATATACTGTACATGTTATGTTATGCTATATGCTGGAAGCAGGTATAATTTGTACAGAACTTCAATCCAGTGGAATAAGTGTGTGTGGTGGTGGGGAGAGATTTTAAACATTAGTTACCTGTAAAATGACACAATAATTTCATATACTTAGTTAAAGAAATGAAGGAATCAATTCTGCAAATATTTATTACAGGTCATGGTATTTACTATCATGAGGATTGTAGGGCAATATGTATTTATACATTATATCTAGTTAAACTCAGTTTACAAAATCTTTTTCTCTTCTGATTTTGTTAATGCATTTGGACACATTAAGAATGGTTCTATTGAAATTGAAATAGAGTTTCAGAATATGAGTAATTCTGTCTTTTCAGATGTGTACAGAACGCACAAGACTTGTGTGCATGATGTATCTCTATAGAGTCTAATATTAGAGTCTAGAGCTAGTCTAATATTTATATACAACAGTTATTTTTTCTTTTTGTGTCTCACAGGAGAAGCTAACCTTCCTCCATACTTTATATCAGCATTTGGTAGCAGGCTGTGTGCTTATAAAACAACCAGAAGGCATCCTGGATAAATTCTCCTGGCTTGAGCTTTGTGCAATCTTGCAGGAGAACGTTGATGCCCTGATCTTAGACCTCAGCAGGGCTAATGAGAAGGTAACTGTCCTCAGGCGCCAGATACCTCTATTAAATTCAGTGACATTTGTCCACATCACAGTATCATTAAAAGGGACTGACATTCATCTTATTTCAAAAAGAATTTGGATGTTAATAATTCAATACCAGTAATTATGGCTTGTCTACAACTCAGTTTGATGCCATTGCTGTGGGCATGTAAATGTGACTGAAGTCTGTATGAAGTCTCTAAGCTCCACTTTCTGTGCAGGACATGCTAATACTACTAGCCAGTATTAGCCACAGGGACCTAATTAAAAGAAAATAAATTAATCTTACTGATGAAGCAATTCAAAGAACTTAGTCATTTATACTAATAAACCAACTCTTTATCTTAGCATAAAAGAGAAACAAAATACAGGAGCATCATCTTAAAACCATTTGCTTGTGAATCAAAATCCTGTTTTTAAAAAATGTAATTATTTGGTTATGGCATTTATAGTCTGAAATATAATTCATTTAGAACCAACATTATGAATTTGAAAACTATAAAAAAATTGTTTTGGGGGGGACACAGAATACTTTTATGGGTGATTTCATATTTCATAAGGCTAAGTCTGTTAAAAAAACATATTTTTCAGAAATCTGTCTTGTTACAATAAATTAAACTGGCTCAGCAGACTAACATATGCTGCTCCTAAGGATTTCCATTCATGTTCTGGCTCCATTGATTGGGTCAGCACTATGTTTCTGTGGTCTAGAAGAAAGATTCCAGATCTTGGCTATGCTGACATTTGCTCTTGAGGGACAAGAAGGGGAAAACTTTCATGAGTTTCTCATGTGTTGGAGTTATGAACACTCTCTTGGCTCAAGTTCAAGAACAGAGTTGCTTACAGTTAATCATTTTGACTCCTCCACTATTAGTAAATATCCCAGCAGTCAATGGAAAACATTAACAGGGTTTGGTTAGACAAAGATGTGGATCATGCAGATTAGACGTGGAGGAAACACCTCCTTTGTCCTTTCAGAGGAAAGAGAACAACAACAAAATTACTGGTAGTTTTTAAGTACAGACGCCCCCCGGGTTACGCAAACCCAACTTACACAAATCCGCACTTACGGAAAAACCTCCCTAGAAATAGGAGGTTTTTAAAAAAAAATGTATTTGTTTGCGTAATTGTCGGGTATATGTTTCCGACTTACGCAAAATTCGAGTTATGCAAGGCGTTCCGGAACGGAATGCTTGCATAAATCGGGGAGTGTCTGTACAGTAGCTGAGGTGGGCCAGCAAGTGTTTTCAGTGATATTTCAGGCACATCAGCTTCTTAGAATTTAACAGTCTGTGTTGTCTGCTGCATTATAACTGCTCATCTCTTAACAGAGATTTTTCACCTGTAGTTCTGTACAATGCATAGAAAAGAATATTGACCATATGTTTAGATTCAGTACTGAAAAATGCAGGCATGCCTATTTGAGATACATTCTTAAATGAAAACACAGTTCCATTTAGCTTTAATAGAAGTTGCATGGCTAAAGCACTGATCGCTAAGTTATACCCCTTAATCTGCTCATTGAAATGCATCATAAAATTAACAAGCTTGCCTGTGAAAAGAGGCATCGTGTACAGTAAAGATCCCTTAAATTGTTTTAATACTCAGAAAATACAAGTAATGCTTTGGTTTTCAAATAAAACATTACATAAAAATGCAACCTCTGCTTTTCATTATCACTTAACTTGCTTTATGATATATTGTGCTAGGATTATTAATTATATAGCACCATAAATGTTCTCTGCACTTTTCAAAACAAATAAGATAAGGTTCCTGTCCAGAAGAATTCTGACACAGACCCAAATGAAACCTGGGCATCTGTTCAGCTACAGGAGTGTATAGAGAAGACAACATTGATGAGATCACCATAGGTTGGATTTTTTGCAAGAAGTGGGGTTTAAAGACAGATATGAAGCAGGAGATCTATGACTTTTTACTTCTGTGCTGTCTGAAGAAAATGCAATCAAGGTCTTCTGCCAAAACAATCTCTCATTAAAGTAGGATTTAAAACAAACGCAAAGGAGCATTTTTGTTTAATAAATCTTTTTTAAAATTCCTATGATGCAGATATCTCATCTAGAATATATTTGCAAGAACAAGTCTGATACCATGAGGGAACTTCAACAGACCCAGGAAGACACTTTTAACAAAGTGGCTGAGCAGATGAAAGCACAGGAAAGCTGTTGGCAGAAACAGAAAAAGGAGTTGGAGCAGCAGTACTCTGGACTCCTTGGGGAAGTTCATGCAAGGGCACAGGTACTGTACTTGTTCCAGAAAGCTCTAAACGTCTAAATTTTTTCTTTAAATATTTAGTATATTATTTCAGTATTTCGAGTTCCAAACCAGTTTAAAGTTGCTTATGAATTTGATATATATTTTTTTATTTTAAGTATTCTTTTACTATTAACTTTTACTTACTTTAGGAAATGAATGACTTTCTGTTAAAACATTCCTGAAATGCATTGCTTAATTAGATCCTGCAGTTGGATTTCCCTTTTTTTTTTTTTTTTTTTTTTTTTTTTTTTTTTTTTTTTTTTTTTTGAAGAGGTTAAAGCTATACGGTGAAAAAATAGATTTCTTTGTAGAATTACATAGAGCCACAGTTGTGACCCCCCCGCCCCCCACTTTCTGAGAGTTTGTAGAATAACAGTGATTTGAATTCACTGTGGAATGAAATTAAGTATATAAATTCTGAACCCAAGAGCAAATTAGTAGTAGCGGTAACAATGTTAAACAGTGTAATAGTCCCCTTTGTTTCAGGCACTACAGTGAAACAAATAACTGACTTGAGTTATGTTCACTGTACATAAAGTTTAGTGTTTTTATGAAAGGTTGTAGACTGCCAGCTCTGGAAACTCAAGTTCTCTCTGGGCAAATAAAAGCTACACATGCTGACCTGCCAGTGTGCCTCAACCCTCACCAGGATGGTCCACTTCGTGTTGAGAAGATGGTTCTTTGCTCTTTTAGCTTTTTACTTCTCTATTGCGACTGAAGTGTTAGTTCCCCCCCCCCCCCTTTTCTTTACCAACTTGGATGGGACTCAAGTCAATTACTTATGGGTAGAGGTCCCTATATCTCAGTGCCAATGCAATCCCTGTCTCCCCGCTCTCAACTGTCCTGCTGATGTGGTATGATTGAAAGGAGACCTGATTAATTGAACTTTTCTGAGAGGGAGTTCAGTTTTCAAAAGTTTGGGAAATGCTGTGTTATGCCAAATTCAGGATGACCTCTTCAATTTATGAACAGGACCCTACCAAATTCATTGCAATGAAAAACACATTGCAGACCGTAAAATCTGGTCTCCCCTGTGGAATCTGGTCTTTTGTGTGCTTTTACCCTGCGCTACACAGATTTCATGGGGAAGCCCAGGGTTTCTCAAATTGGGAGTCCTGATCCAAAGGGAGTTGTAGGAGGGTCGCAAGGTTATTTTAGGGGGGTTGTGGTATTGCCACCCTTATTTCTACGCTGCCTTTAGAGATGGGTGGCTGGAGAGCAGCAGCTGTTGGCCAGGCACCCAGCTCTAAAGGCAGCGCCCCACCAGCAGCAGCACAGAAGTAAGGGTGGCAATACCATACCATGTCGCCATTACTTCTACACTGCTGCCTTCAGAGCTGGGTGGCCGGAGAGTGGCAGCTGCTGACTCAGGGCCCAGCTCTGCAGGCAGCAGCGCAGAAGAAAGGGTGGCAATACCATACCATGTCATCCTTACTTCTGTGCTGCTGCTGGCGGTGGCCCTGCCTTCAGAGCTGGGCTCCCGGCCAGCAGCCGCTGCTCTCCAGCTGCCCAGCTCTGAAGGCAGCGCCACCACCAGCAGCGCAGAAGTAAGGGTAGCAGTACCACAACCCCTTCACAATAACCTTCAACCCCCGCCCCCCACTCCTTTTGTGGATCAGGACCCCTACAATTACAACACCGTGAAATTTCAGGTTAAATAGCTGAAATCATGAAATTTACTATTTTTAAAATCCTATGACTGTGAAATTTACCAAAATGGATTGTGAATTTGGTAGGGCCCTATTTATGAATGAGCAGGACAATAGGTAAATGCAGGGTGTGAATTCTTGTTCCTGAGCACAAGGTGCCTGTTTTTCCTTCTACTCCATTCTGTGTAGTCACACCTGGGTTTAAATCTCTATCATAGCAGAATGGTTGCTTATTTTACACACACTTTGCGCAGATATAAATGACTACAAGGTGCAAGGCAGCAGAGAACCAGGCCATGGTCTACACTCCTCAGGGTTCTCCATGATTGTATCCTTGGACATTGACAATGCGGGGTTGCTCTTAGCCCTGTTTTTGCACCATTGCTTTTGCATTTTTAGGGAAATTGGTGCTGGACCTGAATTTGACCCAACATATTTGGGAATCAGGCCTTTTTAAATATGATTTTATATATATTCTACTGTGTATCTCAGTGATGAATGCTAGACTCTTAACATTTTCTTTCGCATGGAGAAAAATGACTGTTTTGATTTATTTTTTCAAGTAAAGAAATAAACACTGTTAAGTAGTAATGGCACAAAATGAGAATACTGCTGACACCAGCAGAAAAATATTATAATATTTTGCACTTGTATAGTGTCTTCCACCCCAGGAACTTAAAGTGCCTTACAAACATTAATGAATTAAGCCTTGCAAGACCGCTTTGAGATAGGAAATTATTATTAAGCTCATTTGATATTCACCCTGCTTCCTTCCAGACATTCACTGCTGAAGATTGTTTAAAAGTTTAAATAAGGGACTTACAAGCTGTGTTTAATTTTGCAGGCAGTCATCAGTATTAGTATATAACATTGCGAACTGTCTCTGCACAGAGGTACACCTTGGAAATCTTTTGATGAGGTCATCAGATTAATTGACAGCTGTGGCTGTATAGCAACATGAGTAATGCTACTTTGAAACTTTTGGATAGTTAGTATTGCATTGGTGCAGGAAGCCTTCCAAAGTGCAATGTAAGATTTCAATAACTGGCTTTTTAAAATATAACAGTGCAATTTGGAAGATTCGTGCCAGTATTGTAATGACACCTGGCAGTGCTGCTGTCTTCGTCCTGTAGCATTCTGGGCCCCTGATCCCAACTGGGGTCTTTGGATGCTGCTAGATAATACTCTACAACTGTTGCTCTCAGTTAATTAGATGACGTAAGTAGAAAGCAGGTTAGGGTTGCCAACTTTCTACTTGCACAAAACTGAACACCCTTGCCTTGCCTCCTGCCCCACCCCTCATCCAAAGCCCTGCCCCTGCCCCGCCCCTTCTCCGAGGCCCCAACCCCGCTCACTACATCCCCTCTCCCTCTGTTGCTCGCTCCCCCCACCCTCACTTACTTGCTCATTTTCACCGGGCTGGGGCAGGGGGTTGGAATGCGGGAGGGGGTGAGGGCTCTGGGGTGGGGCCAGAGATGAGGGGTTTGGGGTGCAGGAGGGTGCTCTGGGCTGGGAGGTGGAGCCGAGGGGTTCAGAGTATGGTAGGGGGCTCCAGGCTGAGGCAGGGGGTTGCGGTGTGGGAGGGGGTATGGGCTCTGGCCTGGGGATGCGGGTTCTGGGGTGGGGCCAGAAATTAGGAGTTCAGGCTGCAGGAGGGGGCTCCAGGTTGGGGAAGGGGGTTGGGGTACAGGAGAGGGTGAGGGTTCTGGCTGGGGAGTGCAGGGGCCAGCGATGAGGGGCTTGGGGTATAGGAGGGTGCTCTGGGCTGGGACCGAGGGGTTCAGAGGGTGGGAGGGGGATTGGGGGTTGGGGCGCTGGAGGGGGTCAGGGGTGAAGGCTCCGGGTGATGCTTACCTCAAGCAGCTCCCAGAAGCAGCAGCATGTCCCCCCTCTGGCTCCTATGCAGAGGCGTGGACAGGCGGCTCTGCACGCTGCCCCATCACAGGCATCACCCCCGCAGCTCCCATTGGCCGTGGTTCCTGGCCAATGGGAGCTGTGGGGGCGGCGCCTGTGGATGGGACCGCGCACAGAGCCCCCTGGCTGCCCCTAGGTGTAGGAGCTGGAGCAGGGACATGCCACTGCTTCCGGGAGCCGCACGGAGCCACAACAGGCAGCCTTAGCCCCGCTGTGCCGTGGACCGGATTTTTAATGGCCCGGTGAGTGGTTCTGACTGGACCCACCAGGGTCCCTTTTCAACCAGGCGTTCCAATAAAAAACCGGACACCTGGCAACCCTAAAAAAGGGTCAGTGTTCTTCTGTGGAGCAGAACCTCTCAAAGTGGCCTTGTCACAGAGCCCTAGTAAACAGGGATGGCTGTAGATGTGTTAGAGGATGCCTGAGGCTCCTCATTGGCAGCTGGACTTAAAATGAATGTAACTTCCAGTGCTTTTGTGGGAAGAGTAAGGTCCTCCATTTTGATGTTCATAGGGTCACCTCTGACCTTGAACAGGGTCTGCCAATAAATTCCTTCAATCTAAAATTAAAATATACATTTGGAAATATCTGTTTTGAGAAATCTAATGAATATATGGAATGTACTCCCTTGTCTCAGACATGTCATTTCTTCAGAATGTGTGCAGACTTGTAGAAAATATCCTGTGATTTCCTAATATCCATTACAATGAGTAATTAACTGCTTTTACTTTTGGTTTTTTTTCACCATTTTAGTGGGCTCCACTAAAACTAATATATGTTATGGCTTTAGATGCATTGATATCCGCAAAGATATTGGGATAGAAACAAAAACCTAAAGCTATTAACAAAAAGAGGAATGTTAATTTCAGCTCTTTTAGAAATATAACAAGGTTTGCAAAATAGGAAAGGAAAAAAATCCTCTAGAGAGAGAAAATATTTCCTTGTTGATTTGGCATGTTTTATTAAGAAGCGTGATTTTTACAGAAGAAGCAGGTGAACTAGTTGAGGACTTCGCTATATTGCAATTGTATCAAAAGTCACTTATGTAAGATATAAAAATAAAATAGTTGAAATACAGTGAAACCTTTTGAAGTCCAAGTGTCATTAAGTCTCTAGTTTGCAATCTGTCTTCTTGCCAACATAAAGGATAAGGACCCAGCAAGAAATAGGATAAAATAGAGTTCTACTCTCCAGGGGAGTGTCTAATTTTTGTTAATGAACTTGAAGTTCACAGAGTTCTTTAACCCAGTAAGGCATCCCTCAAAGCTCATACGCTCCAGGAAGTCAGCCCGCCACTCTTAAAGGAGCTAACCCTGCTATTTCTCTCAAAAAAATGTACTTTTAAGTTTCTAAGAAGATATTAGAAACAATGTAGAGTAAGAGAAAAACAATTAAAAATCATTGTAAAAGTGAAAACAGATGTAGCTTCATTTTTAAACCTGTGTTTATGGTTAAAGAATAATTTATATACTTCTACAATATATTTGAAAGGTTTTAGGTTTTGTTCATTTTCTCATCTTGAAAATTTTTAAAAATAAGCATTAAACAGAGTACACGATGCTAGTGCTGGTATTTCATAGACCTATAGGGATTGCACTTTAAATGTGCTTACTTAAATGCTGGCCTGTCAGCTCTGAGGGTTAGGAACCATAAATTGATTTCCAAATCCAAATTACCTTTTTAGTGCCTTCCCGACACACTATCAGATAGTATTTGGTTCTTGCAGAATAAGCCCTGTAAATAATGCAGTAGTCCCAAAAGACTTTGTAGATGAAAAAAACTTCCTTTTAAAGTAGAATACTGATGCAATAAATCCTGTAAATTAAATTATGAAATTAATCCACTTAATGCATTTCTACATAGTAGAAATACTAAAATAAGTGTTTCTTTTAATTTAACATGTCTTTTACTTTGAAGAGCAACATAGTTGTTCTTTCTAAAAATTGGACCTGGTGTTGCTTGCAGATAAGCTGATTGAGGATACTATGCTATCTTCTATCACAAAGACGAGAATTAAAAATTGGAGTCCGTATTCTTGTTGGAGAAGCATGGCAAATCATTGCTATAACACTGTTGTGCTTCCATAGTTACTGAATGATTGTCCCCAAAGATAGAGAAAAGTTAAATTAATTCTGTTGACATACCTGAATATGATGATTTCTATTATGATTCTTTTATTTAAATCACTGCCATATTTGATCTGAACAGAAGAGAAATAAATGGAATAAATAAGCCTTTTCTTTTAGCTTTAGTTAGTGGAGAGTTCAGTAGATATTTCTCTATTTTAAAAATTATGCTTTAGTTTAAATCCACTTTTGTCTTTACAGAAATATCAAGAAATTGCAGAAAAAGCCAAGGAAAGATGTTCTGTCATTGAAAAAGCACGAGAGCAGTTGGTCCATGAAAATTCACAATTGAAAAGTATATTAATGCAGACACAAAAGGAACATACGTCTCTGCTGGCTGCCTGTGCACTAATGGGTGGTGCCTTATATCCTTTATACAGCCGATTATGTGCCTTGTCTACACAAAGAGACTTTCTCCAGGATCAGGTCCACACCTATGAAGTACTCAAACAGGAAATTAGGACTCTGGTCTGTGCTTTGTCTGATGTAGAGGAAAAGAGGCAAGATGAAGTGAAGATAAAGAAAAAGCATTTCAAAGGCATGATACATGTATTCCGGAAAGGTGTTATTGCAGTTCTAGCAGCACACAGACTTCAAATTTTGGGACAGTCAAGTAGCTCTCTTTTCTCCTGGGTAGATGGTTTCAAAGAAGGCATAGGAATCCTAGTTTGCATAGGAGAGGCCAAGGGGAAACACAATCTGTCAAGTAAGATAATTGATTTGTTCTTTTATAATGTTATATCAGATTGCACTGTTGGTGCTTAACTTATTATTTATTATTTATTTATTTATTTAATAATAATGTGTAAAGACAAATATAGTGCTGACTTGACTTGAAAAAATATTTTTATGCACATATTGAATGTGAGGCTCCCCCAAATACAAATATTTTCTATCTGTTTATTGAATAGTGAAAAAGAAGGTGGTGCTGTGTGTGTGTGTGTGTGTGTGTGTGTGTGTGTGTGTATATATCATCAGATATCTGTGATAGATTTATATTACCTTTCCAGAAAAAGAGGTTGCAAACATTTCAGTATTATGCTACCTGGTTCACTGCCCTGTGAAGTCTCCAAACAAATGGAGATCCAGAGAAAAGGTCCTGATTAAAAAGCCAAAGTGCTAATCTACATTATGTGTATTTCATACTAAAAATAAAATAATATTAGTATGGGATTATTAAATCTTCATTTGCAGAGTACAGTAACTAAAAACATTGTACATTTACTGTAGTATGAAGGTAAGCAAAAACACATTTACTCATTTTATGGTTTCTCTGAGTAAGAGGAAGTGATAGACAAAAGAACAAATAATTATTTTCCCATTTAACAGCTGAAGGTGGCATAGTGCATGTGAACACAATCTAAAATTTCTTGAAAGAAAAGTAGAATCCTGGCATGAATTTTGTGTAAACTTTATTTTGATCCGTTTCTTAAACAACTGAAGATTGTAGTGTACCATATAGCTCATCCAATGTTACTTTTTATTACATTTTGTTTCACAGAACACCAAAAGGAACAAATCCATTGTCTTCAAGCACTCAACTGGTTTACTAGTTCTGACCTTCTTGCTGCAATAATCAGTTCGGTGGCTGAATTACAGGAAGTTGTTAGCAAAACAGGTAATTGTTAAATATATTGTTGTAGTAGAGAATATAAAAAGTGGTATGTTATGTGATTTCCTATTTGAGGATTTTATATCTTCAAATGTCTTCTCTCCTGGCTCAAATTTCTGGAGGTGGAAAGTTGTTTGGGGAGTCTAATTTTCTTCATCTTTATCGGTAGTTGTAATTGTGTTTTTCGTTTTGGATGCTTTTGCATATACATATCCACACCACACACACATACTCACATGTGGTAGGTAGTACGTAAATCGCTGCCCGACATACACTTACCTGATTTCCAACATGGGTTGCAAAATATACCCTTTTGTTCTTTCCCTCTATGCTCTTACAATTTTCCTACATCTCTCTCTATTTAGTGGTTTTCTTATTTAGTGATGTATAGATCATCATCTTTATTGTTGTTTATTGTAACTCTCCCAATCAGGATTAGGGCCCCATTATGCTGTATAAACAGCATCTGTAACTACTAGCATGACAGATTGCATTGACTTCTAGAGAGTGGTAAACAAATATTTGATTCCCTAAAACCTGATACATCTGACCATAAAGGGAAATTAAAGCTTAGCCATTTTAATGAACCATATCTGGATAGTGATTGCCTCCGTTTTCCAATTCAAGATTCATAAAACTTTCGTTTAACTTCTCTGTAAATCTAGCCCAGCGCGGTCAGCCCTATTCAGATTAGGGATACCTAGTAGTTTTGAAATTCTTGCTGTAACATTAAAGAGATAACCACTTTTTCTAATATTAGTGAGGTACCAGTGCATGAGACTCACAAGCAGTAGCTTCCTGCTTTGGTAGATGCTCTCAACTGCACTAAATATTTGTTAATTAAAAATGATTGTAAGACAACTCTTTAAATCTCATTAATTGTAGAATGGTCAAAAGCAGCCAACGTTTACTACTGGCCTATTCAGAGAAACTAATCTTGTGTATAGAAAGCCAGTAATTCCTGAGTTCAATCCCACCTCTTCTACTGACTCAGAGTGTGGCTTTGGGCAAGTTACTTCACCTTCCGTCCTGTACCTCATCTATCTGTGTACATGGGAATAATAACATTTCACAGCCTCATAAGAGGGTTCTGAAAATTAATTTGATTGTATGTAAACTACTTTTAAGAAGTTTTAGATCTAGCCTGATAGTCTGGGAGCAAATCTCATTCCGTGGACAGCTAGCTATAGAAAGGTCATTTGAGTTGTAAAAATCTACAGAATCATAATTTCAATGGTGTTCACCCTCTGTGGTGTGGCAAGAGGGGACTTTCTGCCTACCCAGCCCCAGGTCTTCTGGTTGGTGGACATTTTGATGATACATCATTGGAAATGAGTCAAGTTAGGTATTATCCAAAAGCCCCGTCTCCCATGACCAAAATGGTACCAAACATGACAAACTTGAAACAATTATGAAGAGAAATGAGAAAATGTTTAAAAATCAAAGTTTTTTTTTTAAAATTATACTTGAACACAGAGATGGATTGCTTACATAAAAAAAGACATTGATCTTTGGTAATCCTAGGTAAGTTACCATTGACATAAAGGACTGAAAACATTTATTCATCAAAGTCATCATAACTGTTGTCTCTATCTAGGGCACCAAACCACTGCTAGACATATTGTCACACTGATCCTCATCGGTGCTCCAGTAGCACATCTTCGTACAAGGCAGGTTGCTGGCCAAATATTTTCAGGGTGATGAGCATCTGGTCTTTGCACAAAAACATTTGATTGGCTAAAGGATTGATTTGGGAGCTCATGGTATTTCACACACAACTGGTGTGATTGGTCCATCCTCCCAGACCCATCCATGCTCAACAGGGGAAGGTAGGCTTGAATGTGCTCAATCATTCCTGAGCCATTCCATTGCTTGACAGTTTTCTCTCTTGATAGCAGGTATAAATGCCCCCCTTGTTGGTGGTAATTTTTTCTGTCTGCTTCTTGGAAAATATCCACCAGCATAGCTCTGCAAGTATCTCAATGTTGTCTTCTAATGATGAACTCTCCATATGAATGTCTCCAATGCATTTGTGACCTCATCAGTGACTATCTCAGCCATTCCAAGCACCTTCAGAGTGAGGAAATAGTCTTTAGAAGCTGAATCAAATGCCTTCCAGTAAGATAATTTGGCCTTTTCAGCCAACATTCCAGCAGTGTCACATTCTGAACAGGGGTGCTGGAACAGTTTGTATAGTGGGAATGCTGAGAGCCATTGAACCAAACTGTAAACCCTGTATATAATGGAAACCACTTCAAGCCAGGGGGTGCTCCCGCACCCCTAGCATCTCTAGTTCCAGCACCTATGATCCTGAAAGGGCATGGATTCCTAATAGCTTTTAATGGTCCGAGAGATAGGAATACATCTCTGAGGGATATACAAGTCATTCTGTTCCCCAGCAGCAGGCACAAAAACAGAATCTTGCAGAAGTCTTGGGTAGCATCACACAGAGAACACTAGAACCTCTGTGTTTTGTGCAAAAATCTGGAGTATAATAGACCCTCTCTCTCTCTAGCATTGATGGCATGCAAAATAATTTTAGTGTCAGTCTCCTCTTGGAAACGACTAAGAAACTCCACTGAACAGTGTGAGGCAGCAGCTTTATTAAGCCATGCTACAATGAAATTCTTTAGAGTTGTTCATATGCTGGAGCATTTTTCCTGCAAGGTATATGGTTAACTCATCCTTCGTGTGAGTATGAGACATTGTGACATTGGAGATGTTTGTGATTTTGTATTGGACAGGTGCAATACCATGGAGTCTCTTCTTCTGGTAATATTTTAATTGATTTCTGTGCATACATGTCAAATACAAGGTGGACTTCATCATAGGTCCAGTATTTATTTTCTCTGTAGCCTCATAATGAAGCGTACAACCAAGTGATAGTTTTTGGTTTGTTGAGAGCTTGTACATCAGACATACAATCTGTGAATGCTATGTTGAAAGGCCTCTGCTGGTATAAGAACCAGTCACATTGTCAGTCAGCGCTGGCTTAGAAGACCACGCAAGATGTGCATAAGTTAGCTTTTCGCCTGGCACATAATTGTTCCGTTGCATTCAAACATCAGTCATGGTACTACGGAGAAGGTGTACTTATTCAAAGTCTCACTTAGATTAATATCACGCTGAGAGCTGGACACAACTAAGAGACAAGCAAACAATGACCTGTCTGTGCTTAGCTCTGTAATACACCCTGCCACCTTTGCTCTGACTTTTTTCTTTGCATTCAAGCATAGCTTTAGTCTGTTTTTCTTGATTGAAGCCCATAGATTGATGGACCCTTGGATAATTCTTTGGGTTCTGAAGGCTTCATACAAGTCATGATCCAAAGTATCCATTCGACTGACATCTTTAGCTATCTAATCACTGAAGACTGCTTTCATCATGATATTAATGAGCTCCAGTCTGTCATGTGCACATTGGTTGCCAGTGCGAGTAGACTTAACCTTCAGATGGGGCATGTTACTTCTTGGGAAATCATCCTAACACTGCTTATTGTTTTGTTTGAAATTCAGTGGAGTTCTGGGGTTGTCAGGAAAACAGAGAGAGCATTTGGATGCTGTGTTATGCCCACCAACCCCCCAATGAATTTCATTGCTCTGTTTTTGTGGTTCCAGGGGTTTGTCTGAACCAAGTGCACAGAATTTCCATTTCAAAATTCCTCCCATGTGTCAGTCAGGCACCTCCTTTTCTACACCTCCTATTCCTGCGAGGTACTAGGCAATCATTGCAGAATAGCTGGTTAAATCTAAAGCAAAAGTGCTACAAGGTGAAAATTCCAGTTAGCAGTCCATCCTGGCAGATTGAATAAAGTGCAGCAAAGACTTTTCCACGGAGCTGGCACTTGCCCTGGCATTTTTAACTTTTTCCTGGTGCCCAATTTACTTCTTTTCCAACCTTGCCAAATTCAGCTTATGAGTGCACTGCTTATAGCAGTTACAGGCTAGTAAGAATGGTCAGACACATAAATGAACACGATATGTTGGGGAAGTTTCAATACAGCTTTTGTAAAGGAAATCATGCCTCCCCAATCTATTAGAATTCTTCGATGGTGTCAACAAGCATGTGGACAAGAGTGATCCAGTTGATATAGTGTACATGGCCTTTCAGAAAGCCTTTGACTATGTCTTACACCAAAGGCTCTTAAACAAAGTAAGTATCCCAATCCTGGGATAAGAAGGAAGGTCTTCTCATGGATCAGTAACTGGGTAAAAGACAGGAAACAAATAGGAAAAACGGGTCCATTTTCACAATGGAAAATGGTAAATAGTGGTGTCCCCCAAGGATCTGTACTGGGGCCAGTGCTGTTCCACTATTCATAAATAATCTGGAAAAGGGGTAAACAGTGAGGTGGCAAAGTTTGCAGATGACACAAAATTATTTGAGATAGTTAAGTCAAAGCTAACTGCAAAGAGTTACAAAGGGATCTCACAAAACTGGGTGACTGGGCAACAAAATGGCAGATGAAATTCAATGTTGATAAATGCAAAATAATGCACTTTGTAAAACATAATCCCAACTATACATACAAAATGATTGGGTCTAAATTAGCTGTTGCAATTTATGAAAGAGATATTGGAGTCATTGTGGATAGTTCTCTGAAAGCATCTGCTCAGTATGCAGCAGCAGTCAAAAAAGCTAACAGAATGTTAGGAACCACTAGGAAAGGGATAAATAATAAGACAGAACATATCATAATGCTACTATATAAATCCATGGGAAGCCTATACCTTGAATACTGTGTACAGTTTGGGTCACCTCATCTCAAAAAAAAACAAAACAAAAAAAATGCATTAGAATTGGAAAAAGTACAGAGAAGGGCAGCATAAATGATTTAGGGGCATTGGAACAGCTTCCATATGAGGAGAGAGTAAAAAAACTGGGACTGGTCACCTTAGAAAGAAGACAACTAATGAGAAATATAATAGAGTACAATAAAATCGTGAATGGTGTGGAGAAAGTGAATAAGGAAGGAATTTACACCTCTCATAACACAAGAACCAAAG